AAGTATAAAAGGATACCGTTGGGACCAAACATAAACAACCGGATTAGATCTTTGTAAAATCACACAGGAAGGTTTGAGTTGATTTCTCTCCGTCTGTCAGTGTCAGACGTCACTTTGAAGAGATTTTGGTTTCTCTGAAATCAGCACTGTCGAGTCGGCCTCTGAGGTCAAAGGTCGGATCTTATTGGATGGCTTCCTGCCAACATGAAGCCAGTTTTGGTCCTATGAAATTCTACTACAGGGCTTATTCCTGTAGACTTATATTTGAGGAACAACATACAAGTATGAGTAAAGTAAGAGATCTATGAGTAACAATAGATACAAGTAAGACCAGCAATACTAGTAAGAGCTATTAACCCCTTCTGAAATTTTAATTTATATATTAATGTACACAACATTCTCTTCTTCTGTTGTCTTGGATGGTTCGAGGGATTAATGTTATTTTAATTCCTTCAAAAACTTCACACAGATAATCTGCAAAAAACTTGATAAATTATAATCCATATATTGATCCATTAATTCATAGGCTGACTTGGACCCAAGAGAGACGAAACAGAGAACAGAGTTCTCCTATTTAATGTGTATATTAAGGGGAAAGTCATTTTTGGTTTGGGGCTTTTGAGAACCTCTTGTATATCTTTCTAAACAACTTTCAACTTAAATAATTGGATTTGTCCATTTCTAATGAATCTGCAAATTAAGGGGAAGTTCTGTGTATTTTATATTTTACTTGAGGTACTTTTCAAATTAATGATGTTTTAAAGGCTTTGGTTTCTGTCTTTTCAAATTGATGGGAACATTAAGGGATCTCTGGTATTTTCAGGCGTGAATGAAGGAATGATTAACGATATTTTAATGGGTTGCAAGCAGCACAGTCATAGGTCAAGCTCGACTGAATGCCTCAGCGTAAAGATCAGGGGCCGACCTGGGGTCAACAGCACCGCAGCAACAATGACATCACCACTTCAGACCACCAGTCAGTGTGTGTGTGTTTGTGTAAAGGCTGTATTTAGACTGACCTACTTTCTCTGTGGTGCTGGTTGGATGAAAACTGCATGTAAACACAGAGATCATAAAGCGCGTGTCACCTCGCTGACCCCAGCCTGCAGTCAAAACAACTAAGTGTTTTCCACAGAGGTCATTCTTCTGCTTTTTGAAAGCTTGTTATCTGTAGGCTTGGAAAGGCTTTGTCCTGAAATGGGAAAGGAAGAAGAGCCAAACATTACCCTCACACTTCCTGTTTTGAGGCTGGGCACCAAGACACTCTGTGACACTATGTTAGAATAGAAATTGTCTAAAGACCAATGTTGCAGATCTCTAAACCTTGTTTTCTTGGGAAGAAACGGTGCTTCACGAAGCGTTCAGATCTCTTAATCTAGTAGGGTGGTGATGGAGCAGCGGGTAAGACACGTGCCTTTAGTGTGAAAGACCACGGTTCGAATCCACTGCGTGACACCAATGTGTCCCCGAGCAAGACACTTAACCCCTCGTTGCTCCAGAGGCGTGCGACCTCTGACATATATAGCAATTGCAAGTCGCTTTGGATAAAAGCGTCAGCTAAATGAATAAATGTAATGTAGTAAAATGAGCAATACAATTGGGTAGAAATATACAAGCCTTGCATTTGAAAGTAATTTTTTAGCATCAAAATAGTACCAAAAGCATAAAACACTCACTTATCCATTTCAGAATATTATATATTATATTCTGACTATTGAAGCATATTTCAGCAATTTTGACTACTTTATATCCCGACAGGTAGCTCAGTCTATAATAATACATAATAATTTATTAGTTCTTCTCTCCCTAGTTTGCATGTCATCATGTCTCTCCCTCGCCCTTTGTGTGTTTGTTTGTTTCTCCTCTCTGTGTGAATGCTGTTTTCCTCTGTTTGTGTGGTCTGTCCTTATTCCAGGTCTCTACGGTGGAGAGGAGGTGGTGTGGCTCAGATCCGAATATGTGGGCGACACCTGAAGCTGCTCACTTGTCCTCCTGGATCCATCCTCTTCACTTATGTTTCACAATCAACAATTTGTCACCATAATTGTATATACTTTGATTTTCTGATGGGAATCTATTCTGTACACTCAACATCTATTTCCTGTCTGTCCGTCCTGGGAGAGGGATCCCTCCACTGTTGCGCTTCCTGATGTTTCTTCCATTTTTGGGGGGAATTTCATCTCATCTGGTTTGAGGACAGAGGGTGTTGTGATTTGTGATAGTGGGCTATAGAAATAAAATTATTTTCTATTAATTATAAGCATCTGTAAAGTAACCAGTAATTACTAAAGCTGTTAAATGTAGTGGAGTAAAAAAGTACTATATTGACTCTAAAATGTATTGATAAAGAGAAGTAGCATAAAATGGAAACGCTTATGTAACATACAAATACCTCAAAACTGTACTTAAGTACTGTACTTGAGTAAAACATGGAGCTAATACAAAGACTAAATGAAACCCGTTATTTTGGGTATTTCAGGTTTTGTTTAAATATAAGGTGAAGCAGGACACGTTTGACAAATGCAGATCATGTAAAAGTGAGTTTTAACTGTGAAGAGCAGCATAGCAGTCGGCAGACCCTCACATCGCGTGGTCAGACTCTGAAAACCTCATTAATGTCCACAGAAAGACACTCATCCATCACTGAGCTCTGGTTCCTGGCTTCAGTCCCGGGCTCAAGCTGGAGGTTGTGGAGGGTGTCGGCCTGAGCGCTTTGTCCTGGCCTGACCCCGGCCTCTCTCCTTATTCTGGGTCAGATTTAGCATCGCTGCCTGGTGCTGGCCTCCCGCCCAGCTGCCCGTGGTGCCTGGCTCTGACTGCCGTTAACCTCCATCGTCATCATCGCTCGGTGCCAAGAGGAAACAGGCTGCTGCAGGAAACAGAAGCTCTGTGTGAGGACAAACACTGGATTTCACATGGAGCCAGCAGCGCTGAGAGACACAATGACTCTTATAAAACATATCCTGATGATAATCAAACAAATAATCTCTTTAACTTAATTTTTTTCTCTTAAAATCCCCTAAAGTAATATATTTATAATACATAAATCATCATTTAATTTAACCTTTAGTTAAAGATTTTGTGATATATATGAAAAATTATTGTTTGGCTTTTCAACTGACCACGGACAATATTACCCTGTTTCTCTACTTTGTTTTCAAACATTTCTGATGTAAGAAAATAACCTTTAATATCATCAGAAAATGTTAATATGCCCAAATCCCATAGACAAACAAGATGTTTACATTTTGAAGAAATAATAATCTTTGTTAAACTTTAATTTACTCAGTAAGTTAATATTAAAATCTATCTTACAAGACAGACCTGAGAACAAACATATATACAGTTTGTGTATAATATCACAACAAGGCGAGGCAGTCACACACATACACACTAAAGGGTTTGATTTTTTTATATGAGGCTGTATGAGGTACTTGTCCATAGTCAGTGTACCTGCTGTAGATGGCGATCAGTGTGTCCCCAGTTTGCAGGAGCAGAGAGAAGAGAGATGTACTGGCACAGAAGCTAAAGCAACGTGTTGCTGTGGGAAGGGTCAGCAACAAAACATATTTCAGCCACCTAGAAAAAGGCCTAATGAAAAAATATCAAGTATACACTATGTGCTTAATATGTTCAGCTCTTTCTGACCATAGAACTTCAGTATGCCTACACATAAGCACTTCTTAGCTGCTCTCTGTATAAAGGGCAAAAATACATTTTGCTGCTGACATTTTTAGCATGTTCAGATATTAAATTACCAGTAAATAGAACTTAAACATCCTTCAAATAAATCAGTATTTTTAACTTTGAATCTTGCTTCCACAACATCCCATGTTTGGGTAATAAATGTACTGTTTGCCTTCATTTTTACCTTTTTCCCCCCAAATAACTTTGCCTAAACTGGAGGTTTACAATTGGCTGCTTGTGTTTCTTGCTACTGAACCTATTTACATTTTACGTGTCCTGGGCAGATCAGATAGATATAAGACATTAAAAAACTTCAATCATAACAGAAAAATGAATGAAGTAAAGATAATGTTTATTATAACAGATGATGTGTGATGATTAAGTCTGGACAGAAAATCTTTGGCACTTAGACTCTACAGGGAGATTTTGGTAATGTAGGGGCATCTGCCCTGAGCAGCAGCAAGAATATATCCCTCCATGGATTCCAGACACTGGTGGTGCTGGCACTGGAGGCTGATGACTTGGCTTAGGCTGATGGAGTGAGAGCAGGAAATATGAGTGAGCATGCGTAAAAGAAGTGAACGGCAGGAGGGTTTTAGAAATAAACCACCGGCTAAGCATGCAAAAGAATCGTCTTCCCGACTGAACTTTTGCTGGAGCTTCATAAACTGTAATTGCATTGAAGAAGCATAACGGAAGGACTGAAATCCGATTAAAACCACCTCGGGAGGTGGTATGAAACGCAATCTAGCCAGATGCTGAAACTTGTAAATAGATCCATCTCTCCAAGATGCATAATCTTTACTCCTCCAAGCTGTAACTACATCAGTAACCAATCACAGGATCTGCTGTCTGTGATAATGGCAGCTGAAGTTACATTGACATTCGCCGTCTGAGCCTGCCCAGAGAGCGATGGTAATGGGCACACCCTGATTTGAATGTAGTCCGTGAATACCAAGGCAGATTGCATTGCATGAGGATTAGATTTGTGATCTGGCCAACAGAGACTCGTATATGTGGCTGAGTGTAAACCAACTCGTATCAAATCCTATCTGGATTTTAATTGGGACACTTGAAATGACTAGAGTAAAAGGTGTCTCTGTTGTGTCCACGTTTTCCCATCCCATTTCCATGTGTTTTCCTTCCCACTACAACCTTACCCTACTAACATCAAGCACAATTTGCAACACTACAGAAAACACTATTCACAGGAAAAACAGGATTTAACACAAAACCAGATCCCAGATCCGAGCAAGCAGCTTAGTGAGAACATTATTATCATTACTGATAAAAATGATGGACAATGAAGTTGTGAAGATGTAATAAACAGGAATTGTCTGTTAAATTTATTGAAGCACAGGTGTAGAAAATACACGTCTTAGGGTCAAAAGCTGTCGACAATAATAAATCCCAGAGCAAATGAAGCCATTACTGAAGCAAGAGAGCATCTGGCAGCCGGAGCAGAAACGTCCACACAGATCCACTTCTGGGGAAACCCTTCATCTGCCGTCTGGGCTTCCAGGTTTTACCGTCGACGGCGTACTCCAGAGTCATGCTCCTGTTGAGCGTGAACACAGAGTCACTTCTCACCACAGCTGTGAACAGTGAACCTCTGCTGTTGGCAAAGTGTCCGGGCAGAGACGACCACTGGCCCGAGCTCAGATTATAACAGTCCATCAGGCATCTCAGGAAGTCGTCCGACGGCCCGTTTCTCATGACATACAGGTTGTCTCTGTGGCCGACCATGCAGTGGCCGTAGCTCTGGTGCCTGATCAGAGTGGTAACAAGCCGCCACTCATCTTTTCTTGAGACATACTCGTAGATCTCTGTGGTCTCCATCGGCCTCCATAAACATACAAATATCCTGCTCATGGCTTTGGTGCACGCAGCGCCCGCCACTGGTCGAGGTAAGTGAGCAGCAAACGCCCACCTTCCGGTCTTTACGTCATAGGTTTCCACAGATGACATAACTGTTCGCTCGTATTCTCCTCCGATGGCGTAAAGATGACCGTCTACACCCACAAGGCTCAGATTGTATCGCAGTTGTGCTGGACCGGAGATTCTGGTCCAGCTGTTGTTTTCAACGCTGTAGCAGAAACAAGAGTCCACGACTTGTTTATGAACTCCACGAACTCCTCCGACAATGTAGAGTTTATTGTCTAAAACAGTCACTCCCGCCATGGAGGTGCTGGCCTGTAGTGGAAGATCTGTTAATACTTTCCAGTTATTGGAAGTTTCATCGAGGTAGCAGACCGTCCTGGAGGCAGCATGTACCGTTTCATCCACACCGCAGGTCACATGGGCCCCCACTGCCACAAAAACACTTGGGGTCAAAGACTCCACGTAGGAGATCATCTCCGACGGCAAGGTTTTCCTGACCTCTGCCTCCAGGTCAGCGTACATGTTTCGGATGAACAGCGCAGCAGCGTGGTAAAGGTCTAAGAGGCCGAAGGTTGCAGCGGTGTGATACATCAGCAAACAGTTGTCAGAATCAATGAGGTCGATCAGATGCTTGGTGAGCGGTGCCACCTGCAAGAAAGCAGCACATTCGATGGCCTCAACAATGTCGTCGCCATCAAGGACGGGCAACTCACCTCGTAAAACCGCCAAGGCGATTAGGAAACCTTGCGCATGTAGAGACTTGAGGTGGATTTTTTCCTGCCGACACTCCTTCATCCCAGAGCGAAACAGAGCTTGGAAATAGTCACAGCTCTGAACAAGAAACATCTTCTCCTCAGAGAAGTGAGTGTCTCCGACCACGATAATCATCTTAGCTGAGACGAGAGCAGGGGCACAACATGGCAGATATCTTTTGTCTGCACTGTCACAGCTGCTGCCGTCCTCTGACATTACTACTCCCTGACTGTGACATTCGTAGAAGCGTTTCCAAAACGAACGAAGCAGCTTCTCTCTTCGGGGAGGCTCAGTTCTTTCACAGCTTTCAAAATAGACTCAGCTAAAAATAGAAGAGAACAAATGACCTGAGTCACATTCATGTTGTGGACTAGAGGGCATCAAGTGAACACAAGGGTAGCGGTATCTGCTGCTGCAAACTTCAAGTATCAGATCAACCAAAACACTTAGCTATGGAGGTATCTAGCCATGATGATAGTTTTGGAGAGAGTTTTGAGATCTCCATAGCTCAGCCCAAAATAACAAAATTGAAAAAAAAAAAATGCTTTAAAGACATAATATCCTGGTCACTTTGTGAACAGTTTTCAAAATCATCCCAACAAGCAATCCATACTGCATTAGTCAAGGCAGAAGAACATCCGTATATTAAACATCTAAATCCTGGCTACGGATTGGTATTTAGGCACTAATTCAATATGATCACCGATTGTCTACCCACAAGCCAGATGTTCACAGTTCTCATGCCTAAATTAATTGAGTTTACCACCAATTTAGTCTTGAGATATACAAGGTAGTGTGTAGCGTACATAATAATAATGTCAATAAGATTTGGTTTACTTATCAAAATTTAACCGGTGGTGTGTAGCGTTGTGTGTATTGTATTATGATATAGAGGACCAGTATATCTTTGGAGGATTCAAACAGGATGCCTAAAACATGTAAATTTCTGTGACCACGATGTTGCTTACGTCTCCCATGGAGTACAATAGCAAAAGGGAAGAGACCCTGTTTAAAGGAAAGGCGGTACAGAAGGTGAGTCTCAAACGTTCCTCATATTGACTAGAGGCCTAACATTTCAGGTTATAACTATTTACACAGACTTTTGTGTAATTATAATACTACTTATTTGACTCTCTTACATATTTTGCTGCTGTATAATTGATTTTGTTACAGAGAATTAGATGAGACCACTCTCAGAAGTTACATCCAGCAGCTGCTTTGCTTAGCTTAGCAGAAATACTATAAACAAAGGGTGCTGGTAGGCAGATCTTGTTACATTTGAACAGAGCCAGACTAGCTGTGCTAGCCAGCTGCTAGCTTAAGCTCCATAGCACAGACATGAGAGTGGTAGCGAGCTTCCCATGTTCCGAGCTGTCAGTGCAAGACTCCGGAAAGATGAGAGGAGATGATGATTTGTGCTCAAACGCAGTCAAGATGGACTCTGTTTCCCAAAATGTCAGACTGTTTATTGTGAAGATGAAACTTTCATATAATCATCTGGTTGCTGCTGTTTACATTCACCCGAGATGCAAATTCAAAAAATGCACTGTGGAATGTTTGCGGTGGATACGTGTCTGTATATATGTATAGAAATAACTGTATATATCGTTTTATTTTACTTTATATGTTACCATATTTGAATATAGGCCTACACTTAATTATATGTTGTGCGTGTTTCATGAGGGAACTACATATTTAGTTTCGTTATGCAGCCTTGTGCTTTATAATGACTAATAAACAACCTTGTAGGCCTTCCTTGTATCTAGCTTTTTCTTTACATCAATCATCAAAAATGTTAAGATAAAAAAGTTGTCCTTTAGACCAATATTTAATGGACCGATAGGAGAGTAGTATTGATTTTCTAATCCAACTCTCTGCCAGAGAGTGAATACGCTTATTTCCTAAAATGTCAAACCATTATTCCTTTAAAGTGTAGCATTTAAATAAAATGAATGGTAAATAATCGTGACCAATTTGACATATAAATTTGCCTTTATGTCTTAAAACACCAGATTATTACAAATAAGACAATGCAATTTCACATGTAGAGTTGAAAATCTCTTAACATGTTAACATTCATAGGAAACTAGGCTTTTTGGACCTATATGCTGAAGAGCCAATGAGAAAAGCTAAATATTGTGAAATTTCAGATTGGATGTGGAGATAGATTCAATGTGATGAGGATTCATTCTGCTGAGAGTCATGTGTCACACACATAGCTCTGTGGTTTCAATAGTGAAAACAAACAATGATGACAAACCTCCTGATCATGATGCAAGTCTCTCAGTTTGAAGATGTTTGTCTCCAGAGAACAACAGCAGCTCTCTGATCTTTAAATCTGTTTTCTGTCAATCTACCGCTTTACATTCACGTACAGTAAGGGGAGGAGGGGTTGACCTAGATTTGGGGCAGTAATACAGCAAGTCATGTGACCTGGCTTCTGCCTGCCTCCTCAGTCAAAACAATCCCACCTCCTCCTGCTCTGTGAGCAGACAGAGGGGATTGTGGGAACATTGTGCTGCAGCTTTGATCTGTCCATCCAGCTGCAGGTGCTTCTCCACTCTACTCGGTTACAGCAGGATGAAATGATAGGATTACACATAAAAATGCAGTTTAATACTGCATTGTGTTGTTTACGCCAAGTAGATATATGTTACGTCGGAAAAAAGGGAGGTAAATAACTTATTTAATTCAATAATCAGCAGCAAACAAGCTCTGATAAAACCACTGCACACCTGCCCAGCAACACACAGCCTGTGGTGGAACATATCTAAGTACATTTACTTACAATACTGCACTTAAGTAGAGTACAAATTTGAGGTACTTGTACTTTACTTGACTAGATTCTTCTCATGGCACGTTTTGTACTCCACTACGTGGAAGACGTAATTGCTTTTTTTTTCTTTCTTCTCTCTTTATTTAATGTAGTTTCTACTTTCCAAATTAAGATTTTTGCGCACAAAAGTATAGCTGAAACAATTAGTCAATTAATCAATTAACAGAAAATTAATTGGCAACTATTTTGATAATTGTTTAATCGTAATTTTTCATGTCAAAACATTTAATGGTTCCCGCTTCACAAAATTTGAGATATTCTGCGATTTTCTTTTAATGAGTTTGATAATTTAATTTTTTTTTAATGATTCTTAGGTTTGGGTTGCATTGTGAAGGTTTCACTTTGGGCTTCGTGAGGGCATTATTTTCTGAATTTTTACAAACTAAACAATCAGTGAATACAGAAAATAATTAGCAGATAGAAAATAAATATTTATTTATGAAAATAAATATTAGTTGCAGTCCAATTCAAAATAGTTCAATGGCTCCAGCTCAACAACTACAGCTTTTACTTTGATGCATAAGTAATAATAACATAATGATAAAATATATATTATAGTACAACAGTCACAGGGTATATTTTATACTGCTACATATTTACTGTTAATACTTTAAGTAGGCAACGTTTACTGATTATACTTCAATGTACGACTTATACTAGTAACAGAGTATTTTTAGGCATTTAATGATATAAATAGTAATAAATAGTAATAGAGTGTGTGTATATGGAAATGGACAATTGTGAAAATTTACAGTAAAAACATTTTTACAAATAAATCCATAGCCTATTCAGGTTTTATCCACATGACGGTTCTCTGGGTGTTGTTGGGTGTGTTTGAAAGTAAAAAAGGGATTTTATTTAAACTGCTGAGATTAATGTAATTCTATTGTAATCGCTGAAACACCCTTATTCTCTATTTGATCGATACACACAGAGTCTGAGTGTTGCAAATTTACAATTATACTATTTCTTAAATCTTTCAGTTATTATCATATAATTTGAATAATTTATTTATTTCTAATTATTTAAAAATGTTCTGTAAGTCATTATTGGGAAGCCTTCGCTTCTCTTCTCTCTGATGTGCCGCAGCACTGACGGAGTGACCATCTTTGAATCCCTGCGCCTTTTCTACTACGTAAAACTAGTCCGTGTGTTTTCTCATTGGTTTAATGCTCATTTTTCTCGACACCGATTTAAATTCACGTTGAGCCGATGCGTCTCGACACGCCGCTGTTTACGTATGTGTGACGGTTTGGGTACGAAGCGGCAGGTAGTGTGGCGTTATTTAATGTTCAGGCGGAAGGATCTATGTGATCTTTGTAAATATTGGCAGCGGCGGACGGAGGGGCAGAGTGGCGCGCTTCTCTGGACGCTGATTTATTTATCTGTATAAATGACCGGACTACGGATGGATTTTGACCGTGTTTGCGCACTATTCTGCCCGTAACAAGGGTCGAGGACTTAGCTGTGTTATCTGGGATTAAGTACGCCAATATTTTCCGGGTGTGTTTTCATTTTTTTTGGGAGAAGTCACGAGCAGCATGCTGCTCTCTAAACTGGGCTCCTTCTCTCACATCCCGTCCAGCATGGATCTGCCGGCAAAGCTGCAAGGTATCGGTGTTAATGTGAATGCCGTCGTATTCTGTGACCGGGTTACTTTCTCCTGATCTAAACCTGATCTAACCAGCCGTGTCATCTCTGGGACACCTAAACAAAACCTTAACACCGTGTTCATCCAACAGCAAACCCTCAGATTCATTAATCAGGTTACAGAACCCGACGGTCCACACAATAATAACAGAAACTAACGGCCATTTTCCAGCCGTTATTATTCGGTTACATGCACACGTTTCTTACTTTATTTATAAGAAACATCATCTGACAACCTTAATTTATTGAAATAGACTCAGCCGATGACCTCGAAAGAACTATATCTTCACGTTAGAGAGAAAAACCGGCTGCTGTTTAGTGTTTTCAGTGAGGAAACCAGAGTGAGTATTTAAATCCATACATTTTCCATCCATTACTTACTGTTAATCGATGAGTGGGTGTGTGCCACATTTGATGACCTTTCAATTATAAATCACGCTGGGGCTATTCTGAAAGTCCTGGTGTGTTGCCAAAATGTGTAGTTACCTTGTAATAAAAAAACGTCGTCTCCACATTTGAAACGGCATCTGTTTCTTTTTTTAAACACCGTTTAAAGAGTTGACACTGGAGACGACGGTGGGCCACCATTTTTTAAACGGCTGACACAAGAACAACAAGTCACCTGAGGACATTTGGTTTATGTGCTCGAGTGTATGCAGCGAATTAAGGCGGTATTTTCTTCATCTTTAAACACATTAATCAAATAATAATGATAAATTAGGTGTAAAGATGACGCTGCGAATCAAAAACACCGGCAGGAGGAGGAGGGAGGTTAAGTTGCAGATTTTGGCGCAGCACTACAGCGTCAAATCCGTCCAAATACCATGCAATATAGTCCTTTATTTATTATTTTGTGTGTGTTTTCAGCCAAAGCGGAGAAGCAGCCGTTTGAGAAGCTGTACCGGCTGGACTCGGTGCTCGGCAGCGGAGGATTCGGCACAGTCTACTCGGCTGTCCGCCTGGCCGACGGGCTGCCGGTAAGAGCGGGGAGCCGCTTTGTTTTGGTCCCAGCACATGGCCGCGGCTGGCAGTTTTAAAGCTACCGCACAGCAAGCAGCTGCACTTCCGGTCTCTGCCTTTAAAATAAAAGCCTCACTGAAGTCTTTTAAAACATATCGTTAATGATTTTAAAGTTCTTTCTTGAGCTGGGAAACAGCTGCTGACAATCTTCCCACAATATTATTGGTAATGTTTATATGTGAGCTGTTTTCCTTTCTGGGGAAATAAAAAGCAAAAGATCTGCATCCTTCATTGACAGTGTTTCTGACTTCTCAAAGAACACGTAGTAGGAATCAGTGTGTTTATGCACAACACTAGATGTTTGAGCTCCCCTCTCAGCTGATATGAAATTTACCACAATGATGCTGGATGTTAGTTGCAGGGTCATTTAATGGTTTGTCACCCCTTGAAATAATTGATTTAATCTATATTTTCATGTATTTCATACGTCATAAGTCCATGAATGTACCTACTTCTATCTAATCATTGGTGTATTTAGCATTATTTAAAATATTAAGTGTTTGTATATAAATTAAACTGCTTGTTTTTCAATTAGCTGTGTGTCTCATTTAAAACTGTCTGTTTAGATTTGGACTGACTAAAGTAAAACATTTGCAGATTATCACCACTGTATCCAACAAGAACTCATGTGTTGACAGTTGTTCTTTTATTTGGAAGGTAGTGTCTATTCCCTGTACTTCCTGTTTTACTGTTGTCAGCTGTGCAACTTGACACAGGGCAGTCACGCATGGCATGTGGTCTTTGTTTTCACAAAGAAATGTGGCCCAAGAAGATTTACTCTCTTCTTGTATTGAACAGTAATCTTACTATTTTGCTTTACACTGTAATATTCTTCACGCAAATCTTTTTTAAGCATAAGCAAAGAAACACATTCAAATACTTAAGGAGCAAACAAAAAGCTTCATGGTCACATATTTCTATCATGACTGCTGTTTATTCTGTGTTTTATACAGACAAAATCTATTCTAACATATATATATATATATATATATATATATATGGAGGCTGTATGTTAATAGTGTTGTTTATGTTTACATGCAGGTGGCGGTGAAGCATGTGTGCAGAGACAGAGTAACTGAGTGGGGCTCTCTGGTGAGATTTACCTGCATTTGACTTGAGGAGGAACTGTTTCAATAACAACTTCTTGACAGTTTGATTACCACTTCAGCAGCTATATTAGTTAGTTTATAATTTAATTCTCAAGTCTCACTGAGATCAAGAATCTTTTTCAGACATATCTTTACATGCCTCCCACATTGCCCACACCAGCTTCAACTCATTCCATTCTTAAGAAATAGTTCAAATCCAGTTTCTGATTTCAGTGTGGCACAGCTACAATAAACTTAAAATGTCCTCTGACGTGACTTAATAACTACTATATTTAAATGTAATCAGAGAGCAGAATCATTGAGGCAGGATTTTCTTCACTGACCTTGAAAATACATTTTGTTTGGTTAAGGGTTAAAACAAGCTTCCTTTTGTTAACTGAAAGCTGAAACACAAACTGTGTACATCACAATGTGGAGTGGCAGAAGAGGAACAAGAATAGATCCCTGTGGGACACTTTAACTACAGTTTGAAATTAAGAACGTATACCATATATTGCATAATGTTAATATACGCTACTTTTCAGAAAGTTTTTATGGCATTGTTTTCATCTGTCATTACTATAATAATAACATATTTTAGAGCTGCAACTAATGATTATTGTCACTGATTAATTTGCCTATTATTGTTTTGTGGATTTAATCAATCTGTCTATAAAATGTCAGAAAGTAGTGAAAACAATCTTATCCATCACACAATCACACTTGCCGCATAAAAATGACTAAAAGTGTTTATTGATATGACTCATTGGCTAATGAGCTCATGTGTTACAATGTTTACCAACTATAATTTTATGGACTGTGAGTTGATGATATATTTTTAAACGTTCTCTTTGATACTCTCAGTGTGGCGCCGTGGTTCCTCTGGAGATTGTGCTGTTGAAGAAGGTGGGCGGGGCGTTTGGCGGCGTGGTGCGGCTGTTGGACTGGTGGGAGCAGGTGGACGGCTGGCTGATGGTGATGGAGCGTCCCGAGCCGGGGCAGGACCTGTTTGATTACATCACAGAGCGCGGAGCACTGGACGAGGCCGCAGCGCGTGGCTTCTTCCTGCAGGTGCTGGAGGCCGTGCGTCACTGCTACACCTGCGGCGTGGTCCACAGAGACATCAAGGACGAGAACCTGCTGGTGGATCTGAAGACCGGACAGATCAAACTCATTGACTTCGGCTCAGGGGCCCTCCTCAAAGACGCCGCCTACACCGAGTTCGATGGTGAGTCCGATCATCTAGCTGTCAAAGAGCTGCCTCGACAGACTCATTACTGTTTTATACGGATGCAGTCATCATGGCAACAGCAGATATTGACAGGAAGAGGAGAGGGAAGTTTTGTCTGTTGGTTTGACTCTTTAAGGTTGGAAAGTGTGTGTGTGTGCTGTTCTATCCTATATCTAACATATTCCTGTTAGGACCAATTAAAGTTTCACATCATGCTGGTATTGTTTGGAGAGTGGGGATTTGTCTTTTGGGAAATTTGAGAACATATTCACAGCGTTGTAATCATGTTTGGGTTTGGGATTATGATATTAAGGGTAAAAGTGACTGCTGTCCCATCATGCACCTGTTCGATTATGTCGGGTGAAGGCGGTGTTTTCCAGAAACATCAGCTGCTACTCTTGTCACCAGCAGCCGTCGCACACGAGCAGCATGATGATGATCTGTTTCCACTACTTGTGATTCTGTTGTCATACAGTTGAATATATAACCCCCCACCTGCAGGTACGCGGGTGTATAGTCCTCCAGAGTGGATCCGTCTCCACCGGTACCACGGCCGCTCGGCCACCGTCTGGTCGCTCGGTGTGCTGCTGTATGACATGGTGTGTGGAGACATCCCCTTTGAACAAGACGAGGAGATCCTGAATGGACGGGTCTACTTCAGACGCGAAATCTCCTCAGGTCAGTTTGAGTGTGACGCGTCAGCTCTGATTAATTTCCATGCACTGATTTTAGGTCATTTCTGTGAAAAGTATGTGGACAGCTCAGCCTTTAGGAAATAAGTGGTGGTTTGCAGACACAGCATTTGTGTTGTGGTTGGCACATGGCCAGAGAAGAGGCTCTGCCTCAAAGACTCAGCTCAGGGCAAAGAAATAAATATTTATTGTGTTTGAGAGATGTGACAATATTAAACAGGAAGTTACCTTCAGTTCAGCCTTTGTATCGTATTTTCTGTCGCAGACTGCCAGCAGCTGATTGGCTGGTGTCTGAACCAGCAGCCATCTGACCGGCCAACCCTGGAGCAGATCCTCCTCCACCCCTGGGTGACGGGCAGCAATGGACAGCAGACGGACAGCGGTGGCGTCACGCTCCACACCATCACAGTTGACTCCTCCTCGTCTTCCTCCACCAGCCAGCAGAGCATCTGATTGGTCAAAGGGAGGCTGCCGGGGGTCGTGGCGTGATCTTGATTCACAGATGTCCTCCAGTGGTGTTTGACTTCAGTTACCTTGTGGTCGCGGTCACAGTTAAGTTTGACACCGCGCTGCTCCACGGTGCCCCTTTCCTGTTCACTGACTATGGAGCCTCAACACCTGCGTAGTTTTCCGTCTGGTGTTCCTCGTTCAGAGTGCCTTGAGTTTGAAAGCTGCTGTGGGAGGAGCGTCTCAACGGTAGCCAGCTGTAGATCAGTAGCGCGTTCAGCCCCGACAAAACGTAGCAAAGCATTTATTAAAACGGAAACGGTGGTGTGTTGAACACCCTGTTGTGTTACGCAATCGTTACAGTTATGGCAGCTGAGAAGGCTATTTTTTGAGGAGCCTAATGAAATTAGTTTGTTCATGTTTAATACTACAAAGTGTGCTTGATGTTACCGCTCTTGCCGTCCAGAATAGCAGAGAACATCCCGATAAAGTAAAGGGGTTTGTAGAAACTGCAGGGCAGGGTTTACAGGCCTATACACGTCGCTGCAGATTAAGTAACCCCTCGGACACACCCACCAAACAAGAGGAAACCTCAAAGCCCGTTCGACGCTGTTTTTGAGGACTCGCATCCTTCAACCGAAACAAAACAGTGCACACTGTTTTCAGACTGAGCGTGCCCCAGGAGTCCGTCTGGAGGTGTGGAGGGTTCCTTAAGTTTAGATAATAAAGTTGGAACCCACATAATCGTTATAGAGGAACCCAGTCCAGTTATTTTCTCCCAAAAATAGTTTTGCAGATAAAGTGGTTTACTCAACGACTCCATTTCTGCAGTGATGGGCCACATGATTATAATACATATTATAATTACATGTAGACATGTGACACTTATTTTCACTGTTGATCAATCTGTCAATTATTTTGTCCTTTCAATTGTCTAGTCAACAATAGAGAGGTCAGGTCCCTCCCCTTACCACGGACCGCCATGGGACCTTATACCGCAGTTTGTCGTGAATCTGTACAAGTACAAAACTGAAAATCTGTAACTACAAAGAATACACACCTAAAAGTTAAGGGACTTCCCCTTTTCTATATGGACGCACATTGCTTTCACCAAAAGAAAAGACTTCCTACGACTTCTGTATCTCATCATTACACCATGATCATGTTTGGCGATGGCTGTCAAAACAAAAAAACTGTTTTCTGTGGCTGAAATTCACAGAATCTGATGGGTCACAGAATTTTTCGCCTGTTGTCTCGTCATTGTGAGATAGTACGTCATAATTACAAGATCAGGCCTTTCTTTGGTGAATGCAGTCTGTACAATAAGATGTGAGACAACAGTGACAAGTTAGACCAACTGTCCAAAACCCAAACAAATTCAGTTTAAGGAGTCCTCTGAGGAACACCACCCACCTTGTGATGTCAGCGTGGGACCCGGCGAGCTACTGGAAACACACATGCCTCTGTAGAGCTTGGACTGGCTCAGGACACCAGACCCTGGTCTCAGTTCTGATTCCAAAACATGACTGTTTGATACGTGCTATGCTGAGTTGAAACCTTTTTTATTTTGTATTTTTATTTTTTCATGTAACTAACATCTCACATCCTCTGAACACAGAAGGACTTTTCCCAACTAAAACAAAGGCTAGAAAGGAACAAAATTGTGATTTTATATCAGGAGATAATGTGTGTTAAAGTAAATCTGTCCCAGCCTCTCAGGTTAGCTCCCGGCTCAGAACTTTATCTCTCTACCGTTGAGGTTAATCAAAACCGTTTAGTTGATTTTTTTTTCCTCTGTTTTCTGTTTCAGTATTTACACCACAGCATTACTTATGATGAGATACATGTTATTCTTTAAAGTTTCCACAGCCAGTTCAGCCTCTCCCTAAATTCAGTTCAACTCAACGGGGCTTAATTGGCATGGGAAACAAGCGTTTACATTGCCAAAGCAAGTGTGAAATAAAAACATGTACAGTATATAAACAGAAGAATTGTGATTTCTCTTGTAGTTTTTAAAGGCTCTCAGAGGAAATGCCGGCGCTCAGCTTTATCCTCATCACTTTGTTTGAATTGTGTTCTGAAAACAATATCTCAGTCTGTGAGTGTAAAATGCACAGTCAATGCAAATATTTAGTTTTGTATTTTGAATATATGTATTTGTTTTTTATACTGTATATATTTTTTTGTACATTTCTGAGTTTTATTTATTTAGTGAAGGGGCGTTCCTTATCATTGCATTATTTAAGTTGTCTTAACTGTTATAAAATGATTATTTCATTTTCATTTTTGCTTAAAACAAATAAAATCAGCGTCAGGTTTGAGTTTGGTCACGTTAGGCTTAAGAGTTTAAACTAATTTCTCATTATATGTGTTACAGTTTTTGGTGTTATATACAATTGTCACAGAGAAGTATTTTTTCATAGAAAATTTTCAATTAAACTTCTCATATATAAACTGATTTTCTGTGTGACGTGTTGACTCCTTTCAGACTTTTCTGTACCAACCACATTACTTAACAAATAGCTTCAGATTTACACAATTCACCTGAATTAATGCCAAACCTTGTTTCAATCATTTCACGGATTAATTTAAACATTCATATTACATAATTTTCAAGACTACTTTGAACAGCCACCTAAATTAAAGTAAAAATAACACAAACAAACTAACCGACCGAGGCAGCGGAAGACCAGCAACTTTAGTGTTCTGCCTGGTAAAATTACTGTTTTGATCAATGGAGTCTGGTGGTTTTGATGCGTGATCAAGTCAAGTCTATTTATAAAGCACATTTTAAACAACCACTGTTGAACAAACTGCGGTATGAAGTAATGCAATCAAAACAACAGCAAGAGAAAAAAAGCAGAGCCAATCAAATATTTAAAAGAAGAAACACAGCAATAATAAAACATAAGACAATGATGAAACAGCAATATATTGAAATATGAAGCAGCCAGGACAAGCATGAATAGTGGCTGCCCCCCCCCCCCCCCCCCCCCCCCCCCAAATTATGTACTTATTAATAATATTAAAATAGAAAATCTAGGGAGACAAAAGTGCTATTAAATTACTTGTCAAAACTAATTTCTTCTCATTTCAAGGGTCAAAATAGCTGAGCAATTTTAATTTGGAATATAAATGTTAATTGTTGAATTGCAGGTATTTGAGGCTTAAAATACAATCATGTTTCCGATATGAGCTGATTATGTTTTCTGTCTGTATAGTATTTAAAAATCCTCGATTAATTGACATCAGTGTTATTTTCCTTCAGGGAAACACGTGTCGTTTTAATGGAAAGCAGTTTCATGTCTCCACAGTGACACCGTGTGGCCGATACTCTGTAAGCAGAAATGCTACAAAATTCGGAGGGATTTAAAAAATAAATAATAGTAATAATTAAAACTTACTTTAAAAGTCGTTAACTACATCCATCCCTGTGTTTTTATTTTTTAAAAGCAGCAAAACTCTCGTTCATCCGTGTTCTTTCTTGACTCTTTCTAATGTGTAGTTCATTCGGGAGTGAAAAAATGCTGATAAAACACATATTTAGATGTATTTATAACGTTCGACATCATTAAAGTATGTGTATTATTAAAAAACATACATATTTCATCATTAGTAAGTAACACAGATGGCTGTTTGGTTTGGGTTTGGCAATGCCATTTCGAACAGGCGCTTCGGGGACAGCTATCGGCAGGGGTCCCCGGAACAGCACGTGAAGGGTAAGTAAAAGAATTTTGTAAATGGTTCATAAAGTCTGTTAAAATAAGATTTGAAGGGTTTTTATAGACGTACCGTTTAGTATATAAGTGTATATATCCAACCTAGAGACATGCACTGACCTATCATTAAACAGTACGCTCAGACAGACGTTTTTTCAGCCGTTTCTTGGGCACTCGACACCATATTCCTTTAAAAAAGTGAATTAAACAAGGTTAACCGGTCTTCAGCACCATAACAGTGTTCACTAAAGTAAAACTAAATACATTTTTAGATTCACTAATAGGTGCTCTTCAATTCGGCTAACAAGAAATTATCAACCAAACCGTTTTTATAAAAATTTGTGGTTCACACATTTGGGACACCGTAACAGAACTGATATTGATAACGTTACTAGGACCGAGTTGATGTATTTAAGGGTATTTAGTCATGTTGGAAGTAATATTTGCACGTCCAGAGAAACAAGAAATAATACAATTAGCATATTGTGAAAATTAGTCCATAAATGAGAATGCCCTTTTACATTCATTGGACTATAATAATGGTGTTAAAAATAACCAATCTTTAACTGAAATCCTAAAATAATCCAGTTGTGTATTACAATATGTGTTAATATCCTGGGATTAAAGAAAGAAGCATAAACGTGGCTGGTGTGTTAACTGGTTCTGTGTGTGTTTTCCATTAGAGGGGTCAAGAGGCCATCATGGGTCGCTCCTCCAAGGACAAGCGGGACATTTACTACCGTCTAGCCAAAGAGGAGGGTTGGAGAGCCAGGAGCGCCTTCAAGCTGCTGCAGCTCGACCACGAGTTCAATCTGTTCACAGGTAAGACCCATCGGATACCTGAGATGGGTGGACTATTAGACAATGGGGTCCAGTCACCTCACAGCTTGCCCACCTACCTTACAGCCCCCTATTTTCGGTACTACATGCTCGAATTAAAGGTCTGACAGAATCATTTGAAAATGCTGTTTACATGTGGAAACAACATGTAGGTGTTTTTGTTAAGAACTCTGTCCACACTGAAACACCCGTCAAGTAGTTTCTTCCTCATCCTCTTTCAGTGGACAAACCAAACAGTTCTTGGCAGTTTTGACAGGACCTGAGTGAAACGACCGGGCTGTGTTCTTCTGCTGTCATTTAATACTATGTCTGATTTGTCAAAAATGTATTTATTGAGGTTTTTTTTCTTTCTCAGGTGTGAACAGAGCAGTGGATCTGTGTGCAGCTCCTGGCAGCTGGAGTCAGGTCCTCAGTCGAAAACTCAGGTATTGCTTTTTGTAAATTATTTTTATTTCACTGAGCATACAGACAGTTGATACAGTAAAGGAAAGACCTGAAAAAATTTTGTGGAGAAACATAACGAATGCGGATGCTTCCACACAGGTTCACTGCATGGTACAGTTGGTATTTTTCAACTTGGATCTTATATTCCCATGTTTGTGTGTCCATGTGACTAATTGGGACTAATTGTTTTTGAAATTGGTCCAGTATTGAGTGAGTGCATTGCAGTCAGCAGCAGCGAGAAAGGGCTGTGTGAAAGACGCACACCCCTGTCTACATCAGTGGAGCTGTGGTAGAGCAGGTGAACAGTTTTAAGTTCCTGGGAATCAGCACTGCAGTGAACCTGACATGGTCATCTTACAGCTCCATGTTGGTGAAGAAAGCTCAGAAATGTCTGTATTTCTTAAGGAAACTTAAGAAGGCTAATTTCCCATGCCAACTTCTTAATAACTTTTACAGAGGAGCAATAGAAAGCATCCTGACTGGCAAAATCACAAACTAGCTTGGGATGTGCACGGCCCAGGACAGGAGGGCTCTGCAGCAGGTGATTAAAACTGCTCAGAAGATCATTGGTACCCATCTCCCGAGCATCAGTGATATCGGTGAGCTGTGGTGCCTACGCAGAGCCCAAAGGTTACATAAACATTACCAACCCAGCCACAGCCTGTGCAACTTGCTGCCATCTGGCAAGAGACATAGAAGTTTCTGCTGTTGCACCACCAGACTACAGAACAGCTTCTTCCCTAAGGCTGTGAGACTTCTATATTCATCCTCAGCACTGCACCAGGCAAAATATACATAAGTATATTTTGTTTATTTTGCAGCATAAAGGGAACTACACACTTCCTCTCATTATACAACCCTGTTTTCTGACAATACATTTACCTTGTAGGTTTTTTCCTTTAGTTTGTCACCCATTTGTATATTTACCTGGAGAGAAATCATCTGTGTGGCTACACTTTAACTGTATTTTCACAAAATATAAAAATTAAATCCTGACGTAAATAAATAAAATACCAAGAGTTAACTGTTTTGTTTTCTACTCAGAGTGCGTGAGGAGAAGGATAAGAAGAATAGTGAGGACGTGAAGATCGTGGCGGTGGACCTGCAGGCCATGGCTCCTTTGCCAGGAGTCACTCAGATCCAGGGAGACATCACCAAGGTGAGGACATGATTAATTTAACAAGTTTGTAGTTATCCTTGAAAAGGTTCCAGTGGTCCTAGAGGAGGTTCTGTGAGTCCCTGAAGAGGTTCCAGAGAATCCAGAGAACAAACACAACAACAGTTACCACCGTGTTACTTCTGCATCTGTATGGAACAGGGACAACCAATCATTTAAAACAAGGAACAATTAAGTGAAAAAACAAAATTGTGGGCTGAAGTTGAAAGAAAAACAAATCTTTTCTGAGATTTCCAGAGAGATTCTTAAATTTTTTTCTATAAAACCAGATTATAGAAAACTAAAGGATCACAATTCTGCAGCGAAGCAAACTACAGCAAACATGCAGTGGTTCAACAGCCAGAATAAACCTGAAACAACATCAATAACAGTATCAGCTTCACGTCTTCCTACTGACTTTGTCCCGCTTTGTAAAACACAGTGGAAACAAAAGAAGAAGAATTTTAGGATCACAAAAGTTTGGAAATCCTGAAGTTAATCGTCGGTCTCAGTGCATGACCTGTGTCGTCTTCTTCCTCTCAGGTGTCGACAGCTCAGGAGATAATCCGTCACTTTGAGGGTCAGCCGGCCGACCTGGTGGTGTGTGACGGAGCTCCAGACGGTGAGACGCTCACTTCCTGTCTGTCTTCACCTGTTCTTGAGTCTCTCCCATCTCCCTTTTAATGTTTTTAGGCATCTGTCAGGAGTTATTTCCTGTTCTGTTTCCACAGTTACCGGGCTCCATGATGTGGATGAGTACATCCAGGCTCAGCTCCTGTTGGCTGTGAGTACCTAGGTGTGTTTGTATTCACCTGTCGGTCTGTGATGACACGCTGACCTGCTCTTTGTCTCTCAGGCTCTGAACATCACCACTCACGTCCTGAAACCTGGAGGGACGTTTGTGGCCAAAGTGAGTTATTTATATAATTTATGCTATAATAAGAGTTATGTCCAAGAAAATCAGGTGTACATTTCTGACTTCAGACAGCAAAATACAGCAGTATAGTACTCGGATCTAAAAGTACCAATATATTCATGTAAAAGTCCTGCTCTGAAAATACCACTTAAGTAAAACTACCGAATTATTATCAGTTAAATGTAATATTTTTGCAGTAAAATGGTCCCTGGCATATTATTAGATAATAATACTGCATTAGAGCAGAATTTTACTGTTGTAGCTGCTTGAGGTGGAGCTAGTTTTAGCTACTTTATATACAGTAAGCTAGTTTGGTCCAGTGGTTCCCACCCAAGGGGGTCGGGGCCCCTCCAAAGGGTCTCCGCTGCTTAGACCGACTTGAGGTCTGAACACGGCCGAGTAGTATTCGGCGAGGTAAATCAGGTTTGACTGGTGTGAGAGGAAATCAAATAAGCAAAACCACCCTTTATATTAAAACCGTTTGGGTGAATAAATAGGTATACCAGGTAAATTAACCTGTTTTTATTTTCTATTTGACTCTTGATGTGTATTTGTATTTAAATGTCTTTTTATATTTCCATATGTTGCTTTTATAGCTATTTTTTAAAGCTATTTGAATTGCCTTGTTGTTGAAATGTGCTATACAAATAAACCTGCCTTGCCTTGTGATAAATCTGAGGAGTCGTGAGGAGATGTGAGATAATCAATGGGAGAGAAAAGAAGAAGAAATAGACACAAATAAACAAATTTCAAATCATTTTTGGATTTTTGTCTAATCTCTAGAAGTGAAATATCTCTTTTGGTGGAACAGCTAAGAATCCAAAGCGTTTTTTATGAGAGTTCACAGACCAAAAAGGTTGAGAAGGTTTAATCTTAAAAATGCATTGTATTTTAAAAGTTCAAAAATCATATTTTTTTCTGTAACATTTTAATCTGTAAAGTAACTATTTTAGCTCAGTATAAAGACTGGAGAAGCAGCTAGCCTGCCTCTGTCCAACAGAAACAATGTCCATCTACCAGCACCTTTAAAGCTCACTACTAAACACGTAATATCTTCTTTTTTTTAAATGTGTACAAAAACCAAGTGGAACAACAACAATTTGCTGCTTCACTGAGGTTGCTATACCAAACTATTTCTTGGCCAGGACCTGTAACTTCCTGGAGTTTATGCTGGTGGCCTGCTACTCAGAGCCTAGAGCCACATCCTATTATCCTAGATAATTAGTACAGTGTCAATAGTTGCATTCAGTGGTGCATTGTGGGCAGTGGACACAGACAGATTGGACATATATATCTTATATACAGTCTATGGATCAGACTGTATTAACCCATTACTGGCCTGTGTCTCAGATCTTCAGATGTAAAGACGTGACTCTGCTGTACTCTCAGCTGAAGATCTTCTTCAGTGGTGTGACCTGTGCCAAGCCTCGCAGCAGCAGGAACTCCAGCATCGGTGAGTCATCGACACCGCCGACCAATCACACGACTCGAACCCAGCCTATGTTGCGATTGTTTACACACCTGAGACTTTTGTACTATGGGCTACAGTCCGGTCACTGAAACGAGACCCTGTTTACTCAAAATTTGAGACCCACAAAATGATCACTCAAAGTAAAAACTGATTTAAATCATGTGTTGGTTTTCATCACATTAATCTGAAGCTGTGGTGTTTGCATGAACTCTCTGTCTTGTCTGTGTGCAGAGGCCTTTGTGGTGTGTCAGAATTACTCTCCTCCTGAAGGTTACATCCCCAACATGTCCAACCCTCTGCTGGATCATTCCTACGGTAACTAGGAGTCTGTTCCTGGAGATTTGGAACAACTTGTGTTCATGCAGGTCCAAATCAGAACAGATTATAATCACAAAGCTGCAGCAGCATTGCTTCTCTTCATATGTTATGAATCTCATTTGTAAGAGGAACAATGTGTTATTTCTTTTTTTAGAGGTTAAATAGTCGCTAATTGTGTCTGTTTACGGAGCATAAATTTGATATGGATCGGTCTTTATTTTCCGTGCACGTCCTGGTCCTGTTCTCAGATTGGGTTCTGGTCTCTGTCCTTCAGATGTAGACTTTAACCAGTTAGAGGGTCCGAACCGCGTCATCGTTCCTTTCCTGGCGTGTGGTGATCTCAGCGCCTTCGACTCAGACAGAACCTACCCTCTGCAGGTGAGGAGACACTGGTTTATCCTTCTTTACTGGGTCAAACTGAAACATAAATAAAAAAGACATCTGGTTCAGTCAGTTTTATTATTTTAACACTTGTACCTGCTGTGGTTGTCATGCTTTGTTTTCACTATGAAATATAATAAATTATTCTTTTTTAAAGATTATATTAAGGTATTTTGATTGGTAATCTGCACAACAAGAGTTTTTAAGGGGAAGAACCCCCATAAAATTTCGCAAATAACATTTGAATTACCTATTATGTCTGAATAAAGATGTAAGGAGCATAAAAATAATGAATGAGAAAAACTCATAAAGTTAACAGATAGATGAAGCCAGTAATGTTACATATTCCATGTCTGAAAAGTGTTTAATAATCCCTTAAAATCTAATTTTTAATAATAAATAATTGCAGCTGACGATATTTAAGATCTCTATTTAAACCAAAGTCCAACCTCAATAACACCTTAAACTGGTCATCGATGGATTTGTCAAATATTTTTAATTAATGTGTGAATTAAGGGGAAAGTTGTGTGTCCTTTTAAAACCTTGATTAAGGGCTTTTCTAATTAAGTGGTTTAGTTTTTCAAATTAATGAAAAATTAAAGGATCTCTGGCTACAAAATGAAGGTTATGGTGTTTGGTGTGTTCAGCGGTAAGTTAACGGTATTTTAAGGGATTCGTTTCAAAGTGATACATGTTGCTATCTTGTAGTTTTTGTAGTATCTTTTTTTTCTTTTCTTTGCACAAATACAATCTTAAACCTGTTGGTGTACATTTTTCTAACTGTTTTTTCTTCAGCTGGATGCTGATAAACCGTATCAGTACACCCCCCCAACCCAGCCGCCCATAAGGCCCCCCTACCAGCAGGCCTGCCACCTTCGCAAAAACAACCTGCTGTCCAGAGAGGACGCTCTGTCCAACTGTCCCAACCAGAGTCAAGACGAGACGGAGCCACCGGCTGAGTCCACCTGATCCGTTTGACTGCTGCTGATTGAGTTATCATTAAAGGAATGGTCTGGCATTTGGGGAAAGTTGGATAAGAAGATGGATATCTGTTTGTTGTCCTGGTTCTATCTCTGTACTGGACGCACAGAAATTAAACATCCATCTTCTTATCAGACAGAAAAGAAGAGACTTTTCCATCCCGGACTGTTCCTTTAATGATAACTCTGTCCTCTGTCTGCTCATGTTTTTTTTCTTGTCCAATCTTTTACATCGCTGTAATGGATGTTCTTCCAAATGGAGGAGTGTGTTTTTATTCTTCTTAGTCTGATTTTATGTGGAGTATTTTGTGTATATTTTAGAAATTAAATGTAATTTCTTTGATGCAAGCCAGCATCGTGGTTTATATGAATTGTGGTTTGAGATTAATTAAACTCTGAATTATATTTTTTGTCTATAAACAATATTGAATTGTCAGGAAATCGTAGTTACTATAAATGTGATAAAACATTGTGCTGCCATTTTGGGTTAAATGCTGATGATTTTGGCTCACAAATTAGCTTTTAAATTATGTTTCCTACTAAGATTTACATGCCTAGATTAAGCCTAATAAAAAAGTAAAAATAAAAACAGTTGAATTTTTCTGGATACTGAAAGCTTATAGGATCTCCAAGTCTGCCCTGTCAAGTTCTGCAGGAAGGTGCCTCTACTGAGCTTTAAAGTGACTGATGCAGTCTGGAATTTAAGTGTTAAAGGTCACCTTGAAATGAAACAGGTTATCTTTTTTTTTTTTTTTTAATCGGTTCAGTGTGTAAGTTTTGGTGGCATCTAGTGGTGAGGGTTGTGAATTGCAACCAACGGCTCAGTCACCGCTCACCCATCCCTTTGCAAGCGCGTAGGACAAGATGCGGTGACTGACAGTGTCGCCTCTTGTGCTAAATAATATGTGTGGTCCTCTATTTGTCCAAATTTCACTTCTCTTCTTAGTTCTAACAAACCAGACGACTACTTCTAATACTGCTTCTTCTTCGTAAGTATTAAACATTGTGACTAAACGCGTTCTGTAGAGCAGTTTGTTCGTTTGGGCTACCGTAGAAACATGGCGGCGCAACATGGTGAAATCCATTTAAGGCGATCCGCAATGTCTGTAGATAGAAATGGCTCATTCTAAGGTAATAAAAGCACAACTGTTCATTATGTATGGTCTTTATACACCACTGAAAACATCCTTATGTATATTGCATTTCTGTCAGTATATCCTAAATATTACACACTGAACCTTTAAAACTCTTTCTACAAACAACTATGTAACTTCTTTACTGGTTTTAAAGATTTGTGTCTATAGTAGTCAAGCTTATTTATAAAGCACATTTAAAAACAAACAATCAATGTTGACCAAAGTTAGACAATTAAAAAAATGTGATAACTAAAAACATCCCAATCAATTTATGACATACAACAAAAGACAGTTTTACACAGGTGTCCCTAAACAGACGCCAAAGAATGAAAATGTGTTTTAAGACAAGACTTAAAAGTCTCTGTGGTGGGGGTTGATCTGATAACCAAGGGAACCAATGGGCTTGGGGCTGAGTGCTGTAGACAGGGTAAACAAGTGAATAAGTTTTGAGAGATTGACTAATGCATTGTTGATTTGAGTATTTTCATGGTAGGTGGCAGTAATAAAAATGTAGAATAAATCCAGATTGATCCTCTAAAAAAAAAAAAAATCACTGTACATTTACCTGATCCCACAGATCAAAACCTTTTCAACAGTCAAAATCTGAAAATACAGTAGGTCTTAAAATACACGTGTTGTTTTAAATGGCAGAACTTGGACTGTCACTGAAGCCGAAGCTACTTCCTGGTTTTCGTTGGTACGCGCTGACGTCACGGCGTAAAGACTAACACAACGGCATTGTTGTTGGGGGAAGAGAAGCTCGGGCAGCTGCTGGGCTCTGCCACTTCCAACCGCTTCCTCACAGTCCTGTCGCTCAGTATTCATCCCGATCAAGGTGTAACACTTGAAACCGTCTCCGGCGCCCTGGATACCTGTCCGTTACCTTCAAGTTTACCTGCGGTTCAGCGCGAGCCGCGGCCGCCGTTGGATGAGCGGACTGAATGTGGATTTAACTGCCGCTTTGCTCCGCAGGCCGCGCCGCCATTGCTGCTGTTTTTATAAGCTGAATTCGTGAAAATACCGAGGTAAGTTCACCCTCACTCTGTCCTCGCCTTTTTAATACCACCCCCCTACAGCCAGGACAAGTTTAAGTTAAAAAGCAACCAGCGTTGCTCTGGGGAAAAGCCACCCTGTCCAATCGAGGCAGTTTCTTGTAGTGTTAGTCGCCATATTTCCTCCCCCTCTCAGTTAGGTGCAATGCTAACAGGCTAACGTTAGCCTGGTTTGTGGACGGAGTGTCCTAATGCGATCAAACGGCGACCGGAGAGGCCGCTGCCTGATGGGAGGGCACCTCCGCCTCTTATTTTCTTGTAACAGACATGTGTTTGGTTGATAACTCTGAAAGCATTGTCACTTAATCACACGGATAAACGTTGTGTTTCGGTTGAGCGAGGCTAACGTTAGCTGGTCGGCTAGCAGAGACCATTCAGCACACAGTCTAAAGAGAAACTGGGCGAAGTTAAGCTGCTGCTGCTGTTAGTCGCTGGTATTCAATGACAGCCAGCTCTCGGCGGCTTCTGTCAGGCTGGCTGTGGCCACTGTGGGCTCGCTGTAGTCTCTGAGAAGGCGTGCTTCTCAGTGCACATTTCTTTCATTCATCCAGTGAACGTTATCAGAGACGGTCTGTTTCCGCCCCCCTTGTACTGAAACTTCATTCAGCAGCCAACTGTAAGCAGCATGTTGATCTCATAAATTAAAGCTGCACAAACAAACTGGTGTTTTACATTTAACGTTAATAAAGCCTGCCAACTTCATTTCCCACGTGTGCTTGTGAGGGTGCAAATGTTAAGTTGCATGCAGTTTTATTTGCATTTGCACCACAGAGGAGGGTCAGAATCAACTGTATTGGCCAATCATGTTTACACGTCAAATCTCAAAACATTGATACACACACTGCAGAGAACAAGTGTAACGTTACAGGAGGATTCACACCTAAGCAGATAGGGCTGAAGTAGGCCTAAGTAATAAAACAATAATGATAATTAACGCAATATAAATTTCATCAATAACAAATGTTCAATATATTTGATGATAAATGATTTAATTCACTTGAATCACAAATAAACTATCTCTTAATCTTTCTGTTAAGATATTTATTTTGTTGAGGAAAAGGGACTGAAAAAAGATTTCCAAATATTTTTTGAAAATATTTTTTTGTTGTTGTTTTGAATGTTCTACCTCAAATTTGTGAAGTGATCCACTGACCATAAAGAAAAGTTTAAAACCAAAATAAACCATCTGGTTTCTTCAACTTTCACTCAGGAGCAAAAATCAGCCTTTAAACTTTGAAAGAATGATTTATCCTCATAATTATCGATATCAAATGATATGAAATGTTTTTATCGTGAAGATATTTTTGGCTTTATTGCCCAGCCCTAGGTTTAAGTTATTTTTGTAAAATCATATAGTCCAGCAACATTTGATTGGTTGAGTAATTGCTAAAATAATATTATAAGCAAAATTCCAGACATACATAAGGTTCAGGACCAAGTATTTGCTGGTTTTCTTTATCCCCTACCAGAGTTATCGGAATGTCTTTTGGTTTTGGAGTGTTGATCAGACGGTTTCCTGACATTTTTATTTATCAAAATAAGTTAATCAAGAGCACAATCAATAGAGTAATTTAATAAAAAAAACTTTCTATGTATAGATAAAAAAAGATTAGTAGATCTGAATGCGCAATTGACAAAAATTGTCAACTATTATGATGATGATTAGCTAAATCATTCAAATCATTGTAAATATGAAAAAAAAACATGTCAAACATTTCACATTTCCACCTTCTCAAATGCAAGGATTTTGATACTTGAGTCAACACTCACATTATTGATATTTAATACCGAACCAAGCCCTATTATGAGCTGGGGGGAAAAAACCCAGACAGTTCTAGACTTGTTACAGTTGTTTTTGTACAAATCACTTGACAAAAGGTCCCACGCTCACCTGGTGAACCTCTTACAGAAAGGTGCTGAAGGTGAGCTGTGTGATTTTCTTTTTATTAGTTTTGTATGTTGTTTAGGGCTGGGTGTCAAACCTCAATGCTTTATGATTACAGACTGAAATTTGTCTGTTGCCTCTAGTATCAAAGGTTTACTATAAAAGTGTCGACAGATTCTGAGTCTTGTTGATTCTGAGTCTTGTTTGATCAAATAGTTCCTGATTTTTAAACAATGAAACTCTTATTAGAAGTAGTTTTGATGTCAGTACAAAATTGTGTTGCAGGAAAACCGTGAGTTGTGTGTGTGTATATGTATGTATGTATGTATATATATATATATATATATGTGTGTGTGTGTATATATATATATATATGTGTGTGTGTATATATATATATATATATATATATATATATATATATATATATATATATATATATATATATATATATATATATATATATATATATATATATATATATATGTGTGTGTGTATATATATATATATATGTGTGTGTGTGTATATATATATATATATATATATATATATATATATATATATATATGTATATATATATGTGTTAGAGGCAGCTCATAGAAATACTCAACAATCCTTTAAATCGGATTCACAGCACTAGTAATTAAAACACTAACTAAAAGTAGTCACTCACAGAGATTTAAAGTTGTTAAAGTATTTCTACATGTTTTTCTGGTCCTCTGATTAAAGACTGGAAGAGGTGTTGACATCCTTGTGGAAACACATTTACTGCCTGACATTCTTCTCGTAAGGCGCCATTGAGGGTTAAGGCTGTTAATCATCAATGTAGGTTCTGTTAGATCCAACACACACACACTTCGTCTGATGGTTGTTGTGTCACAAGGTTAATGTCATGAAAAAGTGTTGCTGTTCAGCTGTTGCTTCCACATCGCATCTGTGAATCATTGACATTGTTGTTTCATCTGTCCAGCTTTTAGGGTCTTTACGGCCTCAAAATGAAGAAGAAAAGCAGACATCACCGCTCGGCGGTGCTGAAGAGGGACTCCTCTCCCATCAAGCCGTCGGCCAACAGGGAGACACTGACATATGCACAGGCTCAGCGAATAGTGGAGCTGGAGGTGGACGGCCGCGTGCACCGGCTCAGCATCTATGACAAGCTGGATGTCATCACCGACGACGACCCCACGGCTCAGGAGATCATGGAGTGTAACAGCAACAAGGAGAACAATGAGAAGCCCCAGCAGGTCCTGGTGCGCTCTGTGCGCCTCAAAAACAACCAGCAGAAGAAGAATGCGGCGCTCACAGCCTCGCATGGCGCCATCAGCACGCACGGCACTGCCAGTGGTCTGCTGGAGGCAAAGGTTAGAACGGTTGAATACAATCTGCCGGTGGTGCCAAAGAGGCCGGCAGCATATTACAAATACACAGAGAGGACAGCAGAGGAGCTGGACGAGGAGGTGGAGTACGACATGGATGAGGAGGACTACGCCTGGCTGGAGCTAATCAACGAGAAGAGGAAGAGCGAGGGCATTAGCCAGGTGTCGCACAACCTGTTCGAGTTCCTCATGGACCGCTTCGAGAAGGAGTCTTTTTCAACCACGCAGGGTCAGAGTGACCTACAATCGCTGGTGGACGAGGACGCCGTCTGCTGCATCTGTATGGATGGAGATGGAGCCGACAGTAATGTCATCCTCTTCTGCGACTCCTGCAACATTGCTGTGCACCAGGAATGCTACGGCGTGCCATACATTCCTGAGGGCCAGTGGCTGTGCCGTCACTGCCTGCAGTGCCCGTCACGGCCCGCTGATTGCGTCTTCTGTCCTAACCGAGGTGGAGCCCTTAAGAAGACTGATGACGACCGCTGGGGCCATGTAGCTTGTGCCCTGTGGGTGCCTGAGGTTGGCTTCTCTGACACGGTTTTCATCGAGCCCATCGATGGTGTCCGCAATATCCCGCCAGCGCGCTGGAAGCTCACCTGTTACCTCTGTAAAGAGAAAGGTGCAGGAGCGTGCATCCAGTGCGATAAGATCAACTGTTACACTGCCTTCCACGTCAGCTGCGCCCAGAAGGCCGGCCTCTACATGAAAATGGAGCCGGTCAAGGAGGTGACGGCGTCCGGCTCCACAAGCTTCTCTGTGAAAAAGACCGCCTACTGCTGCAGCCACACACCTGTAGGCTGCGACCGCCGACCGCTCAACATCTACGAGGAATCGCACCCGAAAAACGGAGCCTGTCAAAAGAGGACTGAGAAGAGGGGGAAGGCCCGGACCAAGGGCTGGCAGAAGAAGAAGACTAAGAGAGCGGAGCCAGAACCTGAGACTCCCACCAACTCGGGGCCCAGTATCACTGCTTCAAGGTAGGCAGGCAACCAGGACTCCGAGAAAGCATCTCACATTAATAATTAATAAATACTCGATACAACTCTGTTCTTCTCTGTTGAACTTCAACTAAACAATAATTAATGATCTGGTGAACAATTCTTCCCCCCAATGTCCTGATATAATATTACTGCAGTTTAGTGCATGCAAATGGTCCCCACAGGCTGCTCAGTTCCTAGTCTGATCGAGACCCTAAGTCCAGTTCAGTGGGGGTTTCCACAGGCCTGTTATTGATCAGGTCCCTTTTAAAGGTTCTGTGTGTAATATTTCTGAAGATCTATCGATAGAAATGCAATATAAGATCCATAACTATGTTTTCAGTGGTGTGTTAAGACCTTACATAATAAACCGTTATGATTTTATTACCTTAGAATGAGCCATTTATTTCTCCATAACCGTGGGCTCCCCCTTCCATGGACGTCGCCATGTTTCTACAGTAGCTAAAAACGGACAAACAGGGCTACAGAGCGCATTTCGTCACTACGTTCTTCTTGTTCTACTTCTGGTAGAATTCAGGCAGCGTAGACACTCGTCACTATGTTGATTACATACGTCAGAAGAAAAAGAGGTAGTAGTAATAATATACTGCAGGGGTGAATCGGAGAAATATTTTCAGCCGTTAGATGGTGGATGAGAATATGAGCCATAACATTGACTTGTAGCAACATGTTGTTTGGTTAGCTCAGTTGGGAAGGCACAGGACTCTCAACCCAACGATTGAGGGTTCTTTCTTTCTCTCTCTCTCTCTTCAACAAATGGATTCTGCAGGGAATGTTTGTCAGATCACGGCATGTGCTGCGCTGTTTTTGATTTGGTGTTTGATCCGCATCCATCAACGCATTTGCAATTCCCCAACATTTATGGTGCTTTCAGACCAAAAGTGAAGCGACGCGAAGGGGGCGGTGAGTTCACATACAAAGTCAATGCAAAGACTCATAGAGCCGCGATTTCCTGTCGAAGCGACACGAAGTGGGCGGTGCCAGCGGCGTGAAGGCACAACGTGAAGGAATTGACAAAGTGAGTTGAATATTTTCAACTCAAGCGAGAAATGACGCAGAGATAGCCTATCGTCACCGACAGCTTCAGAGCGTTGTGTGGAGACGGCCAGGCAGAGCGGGCGATTGAAAATCTGCTGGCCGGCTGAGAGCTGCTAAACTTGGGCTAGAGGAGCAGGGAGCTCCAGCTTTTGGACAAATAAACACCCATGGTCGGACTGGATTCTGCTCTGACAACTACACCGTTTGATCGAGAGAGGAGCTCGGAGTAAACTGCTTTTTATTCAATTATGAGATTACAACGTGGATTTATCTTCACTCGAGCTTCTCAGCAGCCAGATTCCGTGCACATCCGGTTCCAGTGTTGTTAGCGTCGTTTGGCACTACTTCATATTTATATAAAAACTGGACATTGCTGGGAGAAAAGAAAGCGAGGAGGTTGAACTACCTGGTGAGTTCAGAAAACATGTGGATGTAACTTTATTCCAGCTATCGTTGTACTTTACTGTGACCAAGTTAGCATAGCATAGCCCTGATCGATCTGAACTCCATTCAGAAAACAAACATTTGAGTCTGTCTTGCTGACAAACCTGACAAAGCATGAATTCATATGTTTAATAAATCTGCATCATATTGTCGTTATTTCGGCATCAGTTTGATCCGTTTATTGCTATTTAATCACAGCAAAATGTTTACTTTGGATTCATACTGCTGTAGTAACGGCGAGTTGTGTTTATTCGCATTATCGCGATAAAACCCCCGTGAGGAAAGCGTTGCGTGGATTAAATTCGCATTTGGTCTGAATGCCGCATTAGGCGAATCACGTTTTCTGACTGCTTCAGAGGTGTGTCAAGCAGGCTACAGACTCTTTTAATGTCGTTCAGAATGTTTCAAAGTAAAAGCTCAGTTACATCATTGCAGTATTTATGTCTCGCGCTTTTATTTTGTAGGCAAAACCACTAAAGAAGAAGTGATCATGTGAGTAACTGTTGCTTTCATGACTGAGATATATTTCAGCACCGCTATTAAAGTATAAATTTTTTGCCGTTATTAAAGTACCGTAATCTGGCAGCGGGCCACATATTATTGATGGCAGGCAGTTTTTGTGAGGGTACATAATCACAGAGAGAATGAATGTGTTTCCCATGTCAGTGTTTGTATAAACTTGATCTATTATGTGGTTTATAATGGACTGTGGTGCAGAAACGGTAACAGTGTTTCACACTCTTGGCTTACATTTTCCATATTATCTGTCAGTGGCCAAGTCACAATAACATGGTTTTACTGAATAATTATAATTTCTTAATAAATATACCTAAAGAAACCTAATTTCTTGACTGGCTACTCTCTGCTGTCTCAGAAGAGACACCTTTTGTGCTGTGTCTGCCCTTGTAGCTGTCCTACACTATTTGAAAGGGTAGGGGGTTGTGGTAGACTGGACAGATGGTTGCAATTCACAACTCTCACCATTAGATGTCACTAAATCTTATGCCGTTTTCCCATTACCAGTACAAGCTCGACTCGACTTGACTCGGTTTGGCCGTGCTCTGTTTTCCATTGCAGATAGTAACCCTCAATGTAGCTGGTCATCATAGCGACGCCACACACAACTGTTGCGACGTAATTTTCAATGCGACACACACACCAGCGACCCACACACAACTGTCTCTTGATTTAAGGTAAAAAGTTTCAACATTCCTCAGAATGTAAAGACAGATAGGCAGTAGGAAAACCTTACAGCTGTGTTTTCCTCTGCCGTTGTTGCTGCAGCCGTCTTTGTGACAGTGGGACCAGAGGGCTCTGTGAGCGGGCGGTTGGCGCAGGCTTCCCCCTGCAGCCACTTGCGGAGCTCCTCAACTCCAAAAACTTTCAAGCACATTTTTGTTCCGCCATCACTTTTCTTAAAACTATCAGTAAATAAGAAGTGGATTTAGTGATGAAATAAAGTATGAAATTTGTAAAATATTAAACTTTCTGTTGCTGGCCTCTGTCAGGCGTTGCACAATGATGCAGTGAATAGTGACGATTCTCTCTGACCAGTCAGCAGTCTGCTGTGTTTTCACGTCACATTTTAGTATCGCCTCAGCTCGCTTGGAACCTCAGTGGAGATGATACGAAAAAAAGTACCTGGAAGCAGGTACAGGTACATCTTTTCCACAATGGAAAACCAAACAAAGGTGAATAGCGAGTCAAGCTGGTAACATGCAGTGGAAAAGGGGCTTTAGACACTGAACCTTTTAAGACCTCTAGTGCACACTAGTATCTCAACACTATCTTTGTCCATCATTTCATCAACGATCAGAATCAGAGCGCAACCTATTACATATATAAATATAGTGCTTGTTAGATTGTGTTTCTGCCGATGTTATCCCCTCTGAAAACTGAATGAAACAAATGAGTATTTATTGATTAATATGTACTTCTGTTTCCCCCGTGGGTCAGTTTTGACACCATCCTGAACCAGGTTGCTGTTCAGAGGAAGCGTCCGTTCGTTGAGCGTGTCCTGAGCTACTGGGTGCAGAAGAGACAGTCGAGGAACAACGTGCCACTGATCCGGCGGCTGCAGGCCAACCCTCAGCCAACCAAAACCAAGCAGATGGTCAGTGCTGCTGACACTCACTGGCATCTGACACAGGAGCATTATCCTTTTTAATGTAGCTCTCGCTGAATTGAATTTTGTGTGTCTTCTGCAGGACCGTTTGGAGACGAACCAGGCGCTGAAGGAGCAGCTGAAGGAGTGGCACCGCCTCCGCCATGACCTGGAGCGAGCTCGCCTGCTGCTGGAGCTCATCAGGAAGAGAGAGAAGCTGAAGAGGGAGGAGGTAGTAATTTCCTCTTTTATTGCTTTTCTAGCTCAAAGCTTCATTTTAAATCAAAAGATCTTTAAATAGAGGTCTGTGTGGATTTATTTTTAATTTCCAACCACCTGCCAAACAGAAACAAGAAACACCAATCAGCCAACTATAGCTAACTATAACTATCACCAAAAACCTCCCAGATTTCACCAATAGGTTTGATTTCTGGTGTAAAGGTGTATTCATGTTATGCTTACAGTAATAATCACTCTCCTGCTTGTGTAATCTTTTTTTATTTTCCTCAAACACCTGATGTACTTCCTTACATTGACTGTAACAAATAAACACTGATTGCAAAAACGGAAACATTCACACAAAGAAAGTGACACAAATTCAGTGGTCAGGTTTGTAAACACTGACCTGTGACTGTAAATCACATCTGATCTTGTTCACGTGTATTGAAGCTTTGTGTTAGTGTCCATGCTGAGTTATTTGGCCGTGTATTCTCCCGTCAGATGAAGCAGCAGCAGGCGGTGCTGGAGGTCCAGCTTACCCCCTTCAACATCCTGCTGAGAGCCGTGCTCAGTCAGCTGCAGGAGAAGGACCAGTACAGTATTTTCGCCCAGCCTGTCAGCATCAAGGAGGTCTGCAGCCATTTGTTCAATCCATCAATAACACCTTGACACTGCCGTGGTCCCAAAACAGTCAGCAACCAGGGGGATGATAAAAAGTTTCATATCTTTCGATATCAAATAGTTTTTTCTTTCGAGTTGAGTGAAAGTTGAAGAAACCTGATGGTTAATTGTGGTTTAAAGTTGTCTTTATGGTCAACACTTGAGGCCAAACAGTGGATCACTTCACAAATCTGAGGTAGAACATTCAAAACAATAATGATAAAAGCTCTGTCAACAAATATGCATGAGTAAGATTAAGTAAAAGCTTTTTTCAGTCCTTTTTCCTCACCAAATTAAATATAAAAAAACCCCCCAAAAAGTTCTTATTCATGTATGATTTCAAGTGAATAAAATCAAACATTTATTGACCATTTGTTATTATTGATAAGAAATTATATTGCGAAAATTATTGTTATTGTTTTATTGTCCAGCCCTAGCTAAAGATAAGCTGTGATTGATACTAACGCAGCACTTTCTGGCCGACCAGCCGGTCGGTTGCTGTCTGTGACAGTGGACCAAACTAAAAAATTCAATTTTGATGGGGGATATGAGCGACCCCTCCCAACTTGAACTGATCCTTGTTTTTGCTGTAATCTGATTGGCGGTTCCGATCAAAGGAGTTTACTTTCCATTTTTTGTGTTTGTGTGACAAGTGCAACAGAGACGGTAAATATGGCAAAATATTTGAATTTAGAAGGAAAAAATGTTGGCACGAGGCATTTCTAACTATTTTAGCCTTCTGACTGACCTGTTGGTAGTTAGTTGGAATAGTTGGTAGTCCCTTTGTTGTCCCTTTCTTGTGACATCACAATGAAAATACGTGTCATAATGCTCGCTGAGCGGCTAGTCCGACACTTGCTCCAGTCCATGTTGCCAAGCTGGTCGGCAACATGTCGCCTACAGCTGAATGGAAGCTGTTTACCGTCTTTTCGCTGACCCGCCTTTCTCTGCTTCTGATTGGCTAGTAGTCCTTAACTAGGAACTGAGCATGTGCAACTCCCAACAAAGATCATTTAGAGACAAGATGCATCACTCCATAGCTAAAACGAAGCCTTCAACACAGGGTGAAAAGAGGAGCTGCAGCAATGTGCAGTATGACAAAAAAATATGGTGTTTTTAGAAAATTTAACCATGTAAACCTGTTGTGGTACAACCCCTAAATAAGATTTTGAACCTGAAAATTTGCATAATACCACCTCTTTAAGTTTTAACCAGGCATGATGTGCTCTTGTTCAGTGCAGAGGTGACTTGCTTATTCAAATCTAGGAGGCAGGTGTCATCCTAAAGTTTCATGAAGGTCTTCAATACAACAAAAACACTATTAGTATTTAAATAAAAGTTGTTGTGGCATTGGTATTGGAAATGAACAGTAAAAAAAAGGTTATGAATGTATGAGAAATAAACATGTTTAACTCAATAAGCTTGACAGCCCTATTTATTATATGTCTTATCAATAAGGTCAATCTTCATTTAAAATCTGGCTAACTATCAGTGCATAAATTAAAAATAAATGACATGTGCATTTACAAACGCTGCTGGCACACTCGATGTCTTCATCTTTGTATATTGACACTCATCACAGAAAAGGTTGCCGACCCCTGGTCTACAGCAAACAAAAAAATGAGAAATGATGTCTGAAATGAAAGGAAATCCCTGTAGATCTGCTCCCACCAACATGTCTCCTGTCTCCTGCAGGTTCCCGACTACCTGGACCACATCAAGAACCCCATGGACTTCTCCACAATGAGAAAACGCATCGACGCTCATGAGTACAGGAGTCTTGAGGAGTTTGAGGCCGACTTCGACCTCATCATCGCCAACTGCATGTTGTACAACGCCAAGGACACGTTTTTCTACAAGGCAGCTCAGCGGATGCAGGACCATGGAGGAGTGATCCTCCGCAGGGCCCGCAGAGAGGCCGACAGAATCGGCTTCGACTATCCCAGCGGGTTGCATCTTCCCGAAGCCCCCAAACTAGAGGAGGCACCTCCCTTCTCCTGGGAGGACGGTGAGTTGATTGATCATTAAGAAACAGAAAATCTATCAATAACAGTGATGATAATCAGTGTTAGAGCTCAAGTGTCATGTGACTCTCTGTCTCTCTCAGTGGACCGCCTGCTGAGCCCCACCTACCGCCAGCTGACTCCTCTAGAGGACCAGCTGAGGGAGCTGCTGGAGAAGCTGGACATCAGCACGGCCATGAAACACAGCCCGTCCCGCAGCAAGAGGCTCAAACTGCTCAAGAAGACCATCATGGAGGTCCGCAGTGAGATGAGCCTGAAGAAGTCCCTCCCAACGCCGCCGCCTGACGCCCCGGAGCCCGAGCTAAGCCCCGCTGAGTCAGAGGAGCAACCACTAACTGAACCCCTGGCAAAGCCTTGCACCCCACAGGAGGAGAAATCTTTACCTCCACCAACGTTAGAGCTGTTAACTTCACTGTCACAGCTCAACACCTCGCCCAGCGACTCAGAGCCGCCACCTTTGAAGGCCATCATACCCAGCGTGGACCATACTCCCATGGAGCTTGATGGCGACACAGACACGTCTACCTCAGTGCCCCCGGACGCCCCCAGTAGGCACATCCATGACCCGCTACTCCTCAACGGCAACCTCCACACCGAATCCTCTGGCGCCTGCAACCGACGGACCAACACCCTCTTCCGCAAGTCAAAGAGCGCCAGCCCCCAGAAACCACCCAAGACCCAAGAGGCATCCCCTGTGTCGCTGTCGCCCATGGGCGCCAAAACCTTCCTGTCAGTGGTGATCCCTCGACTGGAGACCCTCCTCCTGCCGAAGAAAAGAACACGCAGCAGCAGTGGAGACGGCGAGGAAGAAGATGAAGAGTCACCAATAAAACGCCTCGGCACAGGTACTCACCGAAAGAACGGTTGTCGTGTTTGGATCTTAAAATGAAATCGCAGCAAAGAAAAACTCCCCAGTGAGAAAATATTAATATACTTCATCAGAGTACCATTGTACCCTTTTTTCCTTCAGGAATAGCAAACGGTTTTGTGGTGGAGGAGGAGGAGGAAATCTCACCGTCTCCTCGCCTGCTTGAGCCTCGCCGGCGTTGCGCCTCCGAGTCGAGCATCTCCTCCAGTGGAAGCGTCCTTTGCAGCGCGAGGTGAGTTCAGGAGGAAACACCCAGAGTTCCAGGTTATTCTTTATTATATGAATAGTTTTGATGATTCATACGTATTCTGACTGTTGTTGGCTAAGATCTGACTGGGATGATGGAGAAAATAAGTTGTATGAACACAGAATTTTTCTGATTTGTTCTGACGAGGAGTTTTTTGGGGATGCCGGTTAGCTCACTTGGTACAAGGGTGAGTCTTTATCGCAGCGCCCCGGGTTTGTTATGGAGTAGAGCTGCAACGATTAATCGATAAGTTGTCAACTATTGAATTAAATGCCAACTATTTTGATTCTCCCAGCTTCTGAAGTATTTATATTTTCTGGTTTCTTTACTCCTCTATGACATTAAACTGAATATATTTGGGTTGTGGACGTCATCTTAGGCTTTGGGAAACCCTGATGGACGTTTCACCATTTTCTGACACTTTAAAGACCAAACAACGAAAATATAATTTAAAATAATCCACAGATTTATCAACAATGAAAATAATTGTTAGTTGTTGCAGCCCTGTTACGGTAGCAGCAATACACGCAGGTTGACTTTCAAAGAAATGAAAGCAACAGATGAGAAATGAAACTGGCTACGGAGAGATAATCCATCGTTAAGGCTAAACTTGACCGAACGTTTTAAAATCTGAGGGATGATTTTTTCCTACAGACCACGCACGTCTTAACTCTCGTCTCTTTCAGCACCGTCATCGTGTCTAAAAGCGGGAAAGGGCGGCCGCCGGCAGCTCGACGGAGCACCGTGGATGACAAAAGCGCTCTGAGGACCTGCATCGAGAATGGAGAGCTCACCAAAGCTGCAAAGACCTCTTCGGGTGAGTCGGCAACGAGTGCCCTCTGATGAATGTGCATGACACAGCATGGCACGCTTTGATTTGTCAACCCTTGTCTCTTTCTGCTTAAGACTTTACTAAACTTTTACTGTTGACGTGGTAGCATACATTATTTTTTCTTTCTTTCTCTCTCTCTCCCTTTTTCTATCGTTCCACCTGTAAAACCCAAAGAGCTGTGAAGTGGATTATTATTTCCAGATGATGTAAAGAAAATCTTTTAGAATGGGATTTTATCAAACCAGCCCCTCCTCCCACCTTGCCACACTAAAGGAGTCTCAAACTGAGCTCCAGGTAGGGTTGGGTATCATTTAAAATTTTACGATACAAGTGCCAAAACCAGTACCCTTAAAGTAATACCGATACCAATAGAGTACTTCATTCGATACCTTGCATAAAATTCCACCTGTTGAAGCCATAGTAGTTGACTGGTAGCCTGTTATTATTATTGTTGTTGTTGCTATGGAAAAGCAAGGTTATCTATATTATTTTTTTCTTGTTTCAAATAACTGTTACATAAAAGTTTTGGGAAATTGTATCAGATCGCTCCTCATCCTAATTAGTTCATCCTCACAGGTAGTATTGAAGCAGCCGGAGCTACAGCCGGAGGCTCTGTGAGTAAAATCAGCTGATCACTGCTGCGTCACAAAAGCGTATAATTGATGTGATGGAACGCAGTGATTGATTGGTGACGAGTGAATAGCAAATAAAAATGTACAGAGAAGTGATAAATGATACCAGAAGATGAAACCAATGGAAAGCCAAGCTTGTGGTGATAAACCTGCAACAGTGACAAACATGCCTGAGACCACAGCCAGAGGTGAGAGCCTTTTTTATACAGTTTATGGTGCAGGCATATAAGAAGAAAAAAAAAAAAAAAGGTGTGCTCTTCTCTTTGTTCAGTGTGTTTGCGTGTTTGACTGCAAGCAAAACCATACAAATAGTAATTTTTTGCCGTGATCTAGTTAAAAAAATGTGGGCCTAGGTGTCGATTGAAGTACTGATTTGAAAGGAGATGTTTCAATTCTACTCCATACCGGGCTGTTTCGGTCAATACCATAAAGGTGTGTCGAGTAGCCCATCCCTAGGTCCGGGGTCCTCTGAGGTCCCGGATGAAGTCAGCAAAGACTCAAACTGCAGGTTTAAACCGTGAAGGAAGCTGTAAATTAACAGAGTCCAGAAACAGGAAACCTATGATGGACAAAGTGGAAGTGAAATGAAGTGAAGTTCGTTATTTTCTCTGTGGGTTTAGTGAATTCCAGGCTCATATCATCAACTATGTACAATCACTGTTTTTTGAAGGTAATCTTTAAAAAACATGTGTGTCTTTGGCTTTGGGTTCAGACTGGGTGTGTGTGTGTGTGTGTGTGTGTGTGTGTGTGTTTTCAGACTGCTTGTGCTCTCTGTCTGTTGCAGTGAATACTTCATAACTTGCTTGTTGTTGTTCCTGTAGAGGTGTGGAAGCCCACCGCTGCTTCTCCATTTGTTCTGGAGCCTCTTAAACTAGTTTGGGCTAAATGTAGTGGATATCCCTCCTACCCTGCCCTGGTGAGTGAGTGTTAGTCCCCTCTGTGTCTCATTACCCATCTGCCCCTCTGCCATTGTGCGTGCTGTAGCTCGTGATTTGTGCTCACAGCCATGCGGGAGCTTCCAGCTGGCCGATCATGGACTGCTTGGTGTGTGTGGAGTCGGCCGCTTCGCTCAGAGCGTTTTCGGCTCGACTCTGCCTTGCATGCTTGTGTCTCCGAGTGCGGGCTTCTTCTGTGCGGCCGCTACCACCAGGATATATACCGCACTGTTATTGTGAGGAGGCCGCTTCACTCAGTCTCCGTCCCTCTGTATTTTGGTCTTCGCAGATCATGGACCCCGGAGTGCGGAAGATGGTGTGTCAGCACAACGGGGTGGAGCTTCCCCAGCCGCCGCTGGACGTTCTCAGAGTCGGAGAGCGGATGCAGTTCAGGTCCGCAGAGAAACTCTTCCTCGTCCACTTCTTCGACAGCAAGCGCAGCTGGTGAGGAACTCGAGAACTCACTCAAAATAACTAAAATAAAGCAATGGTTATATGTTTATGTTTCTGTGTCTTTGTTAAAACTCTGGCAGCTGCATTTTGGACACGTTTTAATTGCAGAAGAATTCCGGTAGACCTGAATAACCATCTGCTCGAGATACATGCATGGATCGGCTTTTCAAGATCCTGCTTAGACACAAGTCCTCTTACTCTGAAAGGCGGGGTGTGGTGGGGTATGCGATTCTGGGGAAATCCAATTCCATGACAAATACCATAATCCAAAGCAAACGACGACCCTTCAAGTAACTAAATTTAGCTAGGTTGTGCTACAATTTCTGCTGTGAAGTTAACATGCAGAGAGGACGAGACTGTCCCAGAGACCGCACGCCAGCTCCAGACAGAAATACTCCCAACTCTTTTTGAACCACAGCTTTTCAGCGCACACAGAATGGACAGATAACGAGCAGTCAAGAGATAATTGCTGAGTTTGACAAAAAGACTGGTGAATGCATGTTGAGTTATAGGACCATAGCCATGTGGGGAAAGAAATGTATCCTGTATCAAGACATAAATGTGGTAATAAATATCAAATTATATTTTTTAGGTGAGCATGTGTATGAAAGATAGAAAGTTGTTGAAAATTGACATTTTGTTGGTCGGCAGCTTTGGAAGCGTCAGAGGTGCTCAGAGACCCAGCAACAACACGTAGTTTAAAAAAAAAAGTGTTCTTTTGTGTGTTCTGCACCTTCTCAACTCTGAGTCAGACTGGAGCGGTATGAACTAAATCTCCGTAGGCTTTAGTCCGGGGTCGAGGTCACTGCCGTAGCCTGGAGCGAGGAGTAGCTTTCCGTCCAGTTACACGCTGACCTCTGGCTTCTGTCTTCTCAGGCAATGGCTTCCTAGATCCAAGATGGTTCCCTTCGGGATCAACCAGTCGCTCGACAAACTGAAGCTGATTGAGGCTCGCTCCTCCGGCATCCGAAAAGCTGTGCGGCTCGCCTTCGACCGAGCCATGAACCACCTGAACCGTGTCAGCGGCGCTCTGGAGACGAGCGCTGGTCTCACCGTCACGGACTGAACCCTTCTACCACCTTCACCTCTGAAATCCTCCCATCATCCATCTCTCCTCTTTGTCCTTTCAGCTTTCTTGTTTTGAACACCGTCACAGCAGAGACGCTCATTTTCTGTCTCATACGCACAACAAACACACACACGTCATGTTTACCATTTCCTGCAAACTGGAACCGAATCGTTCTCGCGTCTCCCCCGCACATCTTCCCCCCACCCCTCCATCTGAAATACTGTAGCTTGTGACGGCTATTTTGTTTTGTCAAAGAGCTATGCAACGAATCCGACTCGGTTAGCGGGTGCAAAAAGTTGAAACGAAAAAAAAAAAAATCAAACCGGGGCTGTGAGGACCGAAAAATAACGGGTCTAAACCTGTTGAATGTGTCAGAGTTTGACCTCTGACCTCCTTAAATGTGCTGCAAGACTGCTGCAACAGTTTCACTGCCACGAAAATGTCCATCAGCGTGCTTGTGACTGCTGCAGCTCCTGTAAATATCCTGTACAAGGCCTGACACTAATTTATTCACTCCCTCAGTTTGTTTTGGTACATGGTGTTCAGATATTTATACAGTCGGAGGTGATGATCCACGTCGTCGTCGGCACTGACGGTGTCGGCCTTTTTATTCTGGTGCTATCTCCACAGAGAGAAAAAATGAACATGCATACTGTAATGAACATTTTAATTTCAGCTCCTTTTTTTACGGTTTTTGTAAGTTATTGAGTTCTCACGCTTCTTTGGCATTAATTTTTTTTGTGTCTGCATCTTTTTTTTTTTTTTTTTTTTTTTTAACCTGAATGTTTTTACTGGACTACTTCTTTTTGTGTTTGTACATATTTATATAAAAATCTATATAGATGCTCTCAAAGTTTAAAATGCCTAAAGTGCATCATTCACACCAAAACCAAAAAAACGCTGCCCACAAGATTCCCACTAATGTGTTTATTTTATTCATTTTTTTTTACAGTCTTTTTCAGGTTTGGCCTTTCTGTTTGTGTGCTGTGATTAGTTCACCAAGTCTTCTGTAAAATGTCACAGAATCATCTTTTCCACCTGAACTGAACTACAGTCAGCTGTAGGAGAGAAGATAATGTGCCTGTACTAATTTATTGTAAAGCAGAAAATGTATATGCATTACTTTATAGAGAGAGTATTGTAAGAAAATACTATGGGCACACGAGGAGCCATATGTAGAGGCTCTTCCTATTTTTTTTCTTTTTTTTTTTGATTGATAGCATTAAATCTGAGAGGTGAGGTGATAGTGTGTGATGTTTTTATTTTGGCAGGTTAGCGATGGGTAGACTTCCTGTTTTGTTTGGCCCTTCTGGATGTGGATGTTGTGTGTAAATAGATTTGGTACTTTAGCTGATTCTCTGGGAAAAACCACAGTTATAGCCAACGGGAGCGGAAACCAGCCGACGACAGGCCGGTGGGATTTTTATACTAAAACACTGAAAAATTAAAATATGTTATTGAATCACTGAACGTGTCCTGGTATCATTTTATTTATATATATATATATATATATATAATATTTAATATGATTTGGTTTACTTTGCCTACCCTTGTGTCCATTTTTATTTTTGGGTGTATTTGTTACATTTTTAATTTTAATTACAATTTAAACAATTTTTTTGCTTTAATAAATTTTTTCAAATTGCCCTAGTTTTTTTTTTTAACTTTATTTATAATATATAATATTTCGCACCCACTGAAAATAAACCAGTAAATTTGTTAAAGGCTATTGAGATTAAATACGGTCACTTTCCAGATCAGAGAGGATTTCATCTCTCGTGAAATTAAATTTGTCATTTTCACAAAATCAGATTTCTGTATTTACATTATAACCTGGATTCATGTTAAGTCCAGCTGTACAGGTGTCCATCCTAATACAAGAGACTTTCCAGGCTTCTCTCAGGTGAAAATAAACCTGGAGAACAGCTGTCACAATTTAAGGAGTGTCTGAGCTCATGGTGAGGATAATGTGTAAAAAAGATCTTAAGATGTTTTATCAAGTAATTACACAATGTCCTGAAACAAACAACAACAAACTGATTTATAACTTCAGCAATCTTCCTGGACATTGTTGATTGACCACAAGGTGGAGCTGTTGTTCTGTCTGCTGCAACAGCTGACGTGAACAGAAGTGAAGAGGAAACTCTCACAGTAGTTCAAAGTCAGTAGGAAGATTAAAACCTCATTTGCTAAATTTGAATTGTTTAACATGGTTTGGTATATGGTACTAGATTTTTAGCCTTTTATTTGACAGGAAAAAGAAAGGAATTGAGGGTAGAGAGGGGGGAATGGCGTTCAGCTAATATATAAAAGGCCAGATTCAAATTAACACCAGATGTCAGCATTGTGTTAGCGCTACTGAAGAGTCTATCCTATGAGACTCTTCCCTACGTTTCATAGTAACAGTCCTCAGAAGCAGCTGGATGGCTAACTGTCTTCACCTGGCTGCCCACTGGCGTCCTCTGAAGATTTTGTTTTATTGTGTCAAAACATTACACTGAAGTTGATTTTTGTGGGGGGGGTTTTAACAGAAAAAAGACTTTTTAAAAATGAAAACATCTCTCAGAGTCCACGGCTGTTGCGTGCTTTGTGCACATGTTAACAGGAATTAGCCTATAATGGTGCTGTAAAGTTTGTTGAGCCATGTTGCATTAGCTATTAGCAGTTTCTGTTTGCAGAATACCCATGGATGCATCCACTGCCAAGTTTCCCCCATTCTAATTTGACAAACTCAAGCTGTCAGTTTGCATGGGATGTGTGTACAGATCTTTTTCAGGTCCAGCCACCATAGGTGTCGTTTACACTGGGGACGCTGGAGCCATGTCCCCACAACTTGTTTGAAAAGGCTGATTTTGTCTCCATCACTTCTTAAAAGCATTTGTTAAAAATGTTCTGAAGAATAGCTTGCAACAAGAAATGTTAAATAAAAAATGAAAATGTTTTGAGAAAGGCTTATTTGCACAACAAAAAAAACAATGAAATGCAATGTAAATATAACAAATGTGCATTGTCCAAAAAAAAAGTAACTTAAGCAAAAAAACAAAAAAGAACAGCTACTGATTACTGCATTATAATCTCAATATGTTCTGGGGGAGGACCCACAGACACCCCACTCATACATGTCAACACTGAATATTTCTTCATAATAGAGTTAAATTATCTTTTCGTCTCGTTCTCGTAAACCAAATATTGTGCATCGTCATATCGTGTGAGCTAAGATGTCTATGAAGATTCTCAGTCATCCAGGTCATAGTTATCCAACGAAGGTTAAAATGAAGGGCAACTGGACTTGGTTGAAGCTACTAAGGGACGAAACGTCTTCCAGTAGCTTCAACCAAGTGTGATCCAATGCGGAGGCCCACAAACCTGCATTCTATTGAACGGCCAGCATGGGGCGATACTTTTGGTTGCAAAAAGAAGTCTGGTTCCATTAGAAATAATGGTAATAATAATAATAATAAATTTAATTTGTATAGTGCTTTTCACGAACTCAAAGTCGCTTAAAAAAGTAAAATGACCCGACTTCTCAGCTGATTTATTCCCTCAGTAAACACTTTCATAATGATTTTATGGTCTCAGTCGCTAGTTTCAAGTCTTCTTCAATACAACATGATGTTTCGTTTAGTAAATTATGGTCCCATTTATAGGAAAATAGACCATGAAGCAGAGTAAGTTTTAGGGCAGGATTATCTGTGATTGACAAGTTGTTACCATGGCGAGCTGTCAGTCAGACTAGAGTGAATCATACCCACTGTGTAAATTTAATCAGAGTCGTCAGTTCACTTTCTCTGGTGAGTCCATTTAGTTTTAAGACTGTTAAAATGACAGGTAATGTGAATTACAGATGCACCTAGCTAAGCAAGCTAACTAGCTCTACGGTCTCATCCAAATATGGGCACTTCCTGGTTGCAAAAAATCAACATGGCTTCAAAACGGCAGTCCACAAACCAACAGGTGACGTCACGATGACTACGTCCACTTCTTTTATACAGTCTGTGATCTGAGTCCCCATCACTTTTCAACACAAACCGACACCCTTGCCAGCCACCAAATCTTGATTGGACTGCGATCTGGACTGGGTCACTCCAGGACTTAACACAGTTGTTTAGAAGCCATTCCTGCGTGGCTTTGGCTTTATGCTTGGATTCATTACCTTGCTGGAAAACAAAGTGACAGGTTTCTTGCAAACTGCTTCAGGATTTATTTGTATTTTGTGGCACTGATTTTACCCTCACAAGCCTCCAAGAGCCTTCTGCAGAGAACCAAGCTACACACGGGGTGCTTAAGATAACGTGAAATGCAACATCGTCGTTCAGTCTGACAGCCGAAGCTAAGTTTTGGTCTCATCAGCCTATGGAACCTGCTTCCTGCTGACTTCAGTCTCCTATGTGCCTTCTTGTGAACTGTAATTTTAATGGTGGCTTCCTAGGATAGGACTAGGAGCTTAGATACCCAGTAGAAACTTTGAGTAGTTCTTCATCGCGTCATACGTCCTGTCTCTTTACTAAAACATTTACGGGGGCTGCATGTCACTGTCGTACTGCACTTGTGTTGTTTCTCTTCTACTTCTTCTCTATATAAAATATGTTGGTTATCTGGTTTATAAGGGAGAGGAAGTGATCGGGTCCTTGATACAACCAAACAAGCCAATCGTCAACATTTACATTTATTCATTTAGCTGCTGCTTTTATCTAAAGCGACTTAAAATTGCTATACATGTCAGAGGTCACACGCCTCTGGAGCAACTAGGGGTTAAGTGTCTTGCTCAGGGACACAATGGTGGATTGGTCACAGCGGGGGATTGAACGCGGGTCTCTCACACCAAAGGCATGTGTCTTATCCATAGCGCCATCACCACCAGGAGCCAGCCAACAAGAAGTTGAAACATGTGACTTAAACGCCGCTCAAGTTTCCACTGAAGAGACAAAAACATCAGATCTGTGCGACGAGGAGGCTGTAACCTTCCTCAAATTAATACGTGAAACAGACACAAATGTCATATTTATACATTGTTTTCCACCATTTGAGGTTTGACTGGAGCTCTTTTAAAATCATCTCACCGGGGCCTCCTCTTCTGCAACTTAAAAATAAAACTGTAGATGTTACGCCCCTGTACAAGGGGAAATAGAAAGTACGACACGGACACGTTGTAGCTTCAGTCAAGTCCAATGTTGTAATGGACGAACGTAAGCCACACGTTCCGTACGCAGGCTGAACGAAGCATTAGCAATCGTAAACAGACTAGTACTTAAAACTTACGGCAAAAAAAGAGAAAGTGAAACTTTTGTCAACAGGCAAACACTGCGTATTGTAATTTAAGGTGCATTTCCCCAAAATGTTATAGAAGTCAAATATTTTAAACACAGATCGTCTTTTTAGCCTCTTTTACCCCAAAAGCAATGGATTGCTGATCTACAGATCGTAGTGTATTTTAACTTTCTCCTGTTTCATAAAGAAATTATCATAAAATTTTAACTTTTCCCTTTTTATGGACATTTTTAAGTATCTTTTAACTTATATCAACCCATTCAATGGATTCAGTATTACATCATTTTTATCATCCTTACACAGACACTAACTTCCTGTGTTTACTTCTGTACTAGGTTTAATGGCACCCGAATGGAGAATTATCTTCATCTGTTTACCTCAAAAAACTAACTGCAGTGGATGGAAACACACATTTAATTGCGTTTTATTTAGCAGATTTTCTGGAATTTCATTTAAAATGTTTGCTAATGTTGGATGAAAATTTGAGAGGCATGTGCTGAATCCACCCACAAGTTGAAGCTTATGGGTAAGCAGCAGAAAATGGATGGATGGATGGATGATGTGGCTTATTACCAGTCACACTCTGTTGTCAAACTCATTAAGGTGGAACAACCAATAAGATCATTTCTACCTCGTGGAACATGTGTAGTTCTTTCATTCAGTTAAAATCTGTGGCTGCTGTTGGTGTTCGAAATATCCCCGCTGGTCAATTTTTCACAGTCCTGTATCTTGTGAATGTTTTGCTGATGACTCTGCATTTTCTTCTAATTAGCAGCAGATATTTTGGGCGTCCGGCTCAGCCACACACACATTCTCTTGGTCTCTGGGGGTTCAAATGTCTTTGAAGTTGGAGATAATTATCCATGTATGCGGGTAATTAACAGTGTCCAGCTCATAAATAAACACATTTCCTCTACACACACACCATTAATGTAGCAGACGCCGCTGGAACAGAGTCTGTCTTCTGCAAAAAAAAAAAGCTCTAAACTGGCTGGTTCAGATCAGTTCAGATTCACTTTGTAAGGGATCCGAGCACCTCTAGAAACCTCTTATTCTGCATATTAACCTTTGGCACTGTGTGCAAAAGAACTGATCATTATAACTGTCATGAAGGATTCATTGCAGGACTGTTGTGTTAGGCTGCTTTAGTTTTAGGTAGGTGTACCTAATAAACTGGCTACTGAGTTTATACTGGTGT